ATTCTTTCAAATAAAAGATAAATATTATTTTCTATATGCTTAAATTCTATCTAATGTGACCAGATTTTTCAAACTAAAAATCAAGACATATCACTAAGAGGGAGAGGTAATGACAATTTTTTTTCGGCATTTCGATATATAATAAAATCAAAGAATTTTGGATTTCATGTGAGAAAAATTTTTTTCATGAGGTGCCAATCTTCCTTCTACTATTTATTACAATTAATATTAATTAATAATTACAATTACTAATGCATTGCAATTGTTTTTAAATTTCGAAATAGCAGTATAAAACAAAGTAGTAATATATAGAAATATCTAGTTTAATTGGAAGTACTAATGAAAAGCTTAAGTTAAAAAAATAACTTAATGTTGTTAAATACAGAATTTTCCAACGTAAAATTCTCAACAAATTTTAAAAACAAGTTTCATTATGCATTTATAGGTATCAATCAATCATACTTGCTTTTTGAAGCAATTTTTAGTAAAACAATTTTATTGTCTCTCAAACAATCAAATTTCCTGCCTGAATATGAAAAATTGATCTTAGTTAGTAATAAAGATTTTAAAGCCTCTATTGACAGCTGAGTTTTTTTATATAAAACCTAATTAATTTATACTTTTCTTGTTTGGTGGAACTTAAACGTAAAAATATATCTCGGGCAGGACTTTAATTGAAAATCTAAACATTTGACAAGCAGAACAAAGGGCAGGATGACTGGTCACTTTAATTATATCTATAGCTTAATTGTTATTTAATTTGTTTTACACTCTTTGAATTAAATTCACTTTTTTTCTATATTTTATTAATACTAACCATGCATTATTTTAATACTTATTCTTTTTTCTAGAGTTTGCTATTCACTGTTCATATGAGCACTTTGAAAGAATTCCAAATGGCCTGTTTTGTTGCAAATATTGCTCCTATGTCACTCCCAATAGGGGCCACATGAATTATCATCAAGTGAAACATTCTGGTGCAAGAGACTTCCAATGTAGCATGTGTAAAAAATTCTTTGCTCAAAAGTCCAACTTGAAACAGCATCTACGCCGTATTCATGGCACAGAAAAGGAATCTTTTGCTGTGAATGTGTGATATGGTTTTTAGAAGAAAGTTAAGCCATGATTACTAACTCATTTGTTTTCTTAAACTGACGGAATGTTAATTTATCTTATTATAATTTGTCATCAATTATTTGGTGTAATATCAATGCCTGTCACAAATAAATTTTGGAGATTATTAAATAGTCTCTTTTAAATATTGCTGCACTGCATACCTTCTGGTATAGTAAATTATTCTAAAAAATCAATTTTACTGATATCAATTCACAATTGAGTGTAGAGTTTCATTCCAGTGTGTTTTGTGCTCTACTCTTTTTTATTAGAGACTAACACGAATAAAATATTTTTCTTAAAGAAAAGATTATTCTTGCCCATGACCCAAAATTATTTCAATATTCAGTAGTGCTACAAAATAGGCCAATAGTTATTTTTATAAACATTTAGTTAAATAAAGTTAAAACAACTTGGAAAAAACACAAAGAATGTCTCACAAATGACTTCTCTAATGTCTTTCACGAATGTTTGTGTTATCTGAATGCTGTGTCTCTAATTGTCTTGTCTCTAATACATTTCTCTAATGTGTGTTGTTTTTAATGTCTGTATACTAGTGTATGTATTTCCTCTTATGTGACTTTATTTGCTCTTTTTTTCATATTGTTCTAATTATATTATTTACAAAACCAAACTAACCAATGTTTATTTAAAACTATTCAGATATTTAAGAAAATACCAAGTGTTGAATCTCTTCTTTAAACAGTTTAAAAACAAATAATCTTGTGGTTATTATATTTTCCAGTTAAATTCTTCTCATCAATTATACAAAATTTAAAAAATATGTATATTAAATCTGATGAGATTATGAAATTGTTTCCCTTGGTAAGGTTTATGCTTTCTGAATGGAGGTCTGTAACTATTAAAAGGAACTATTAAATATAACATCTTTTAATCACATTTATGTTGTCAAATTTTTAAAATTTTAATATTTTTTTTATTCTTAGCTGTTGTCAAAACATTATGAATATCCTGTCATTATTTTGTACTGTTGTCAACTGTTACTTTTTCATATAACTTTCTATTTACATTAAACATAATAATTATATAACTAAATGATTCAGCTATCATTTCATACAGAATTTCAGTAAAGGCTTACTTATATGTTAAAATTGTGCTTGTAGAGAGTAGAATGTTTAAAAAATGGGTGTAATTGAGCACTGTAAACATTGATCTGTTAGTACTTGCTGCTTTTTTATTTATTTTTAAATGAAAATTGTTAAAATGAAAGTTTTGATAAGTTACTTTCTAGTATTTTCTTTTAAGTTTCAGCGAGGACAATGCAAATTACACATTCTTTTGATAATGTTGCATTTTCAGTTCAGAACAAAAGCATTTTTTTGCAATGTTTTTGAGAAATAATAATAAATGCTTTATTTTTTATTCATTTATTTGAATTCAGTATATGCACTGTTAAGAACATGTATTTTGATATTCAAAAAGTACACTTTTGCAGTATTTAAAACATGCTGTTACAATGTGCAGTGGAACCTTGGAATGGAGACAACTGTCGACCAAGGAGAGGTTATAAAAATAAGAATGATAATTGAGAAACCAAATGTTATAGAGGATTTTTAAGGTTTAATAGTTATCATTTTTGGAGTTATTATTTTTGCAATGATAACAATGCTTTAGTTCTTCAATTTCAAATAAAAATGTTTTGATGAATTTATTTAAACTATTGTTGAAAACTTTATGCATGGAATATTAATGAATGATTTTGAAATATGATTCATAGTTTGAAATACTTTCCTTTGATTCTTGTTTCATGGACTGAGGCAAAAACCTACTTATTAGACTTATGGATTCAATCGGCTGTTTTTAAAATAAAGGTAGTTGTTGCAATGCAAAATACTATCATGCACTGACTATAATGCATTTTATCATTAGACAAAAGCCTTAAAGAAGTTTTGCAATTTTCTTCTTTCCCTAAAAGAAAATTGGCCCATTCTTATATTTTGTCCATGAAAAACACCCAAACTTGTGTTTGAAAAATTACTCACAAAAAATACATTATAAATATGTTAAACATCTGAAGAGATTTTGAAATGCAAATTATTGTCCGTGTCCAATTAAAACCCTAAGAAGGGAATTCATAGAATACTTTCTTGGTAGTTAGAAAAATCATCTGTGCGGTGAGGTTTCACTTTATGTAATTGCAAAAAAATATGTTTTAATTTTACATAAATTTAGATTCTGATGCTTTTTGACATTTTGACATATCAAAATTTTACAACTTTTTCAATTAAATTGATCTTAGGCAGGATTTTGAAGTTAATTTCACATCATCTAATAATGTGTTTTTTTTTCTACATATAATATACCAATGTACATTAAATAATTCAGTCAAGCAGATTGTTTCCTTTCTGAAAAAGCGAATAATGTAATTTGTTGAAAAAATAATTATTTCAGATGCTTTCTGTTCTGCTCATAAGTTTGTTGACTCTAAAAAGTGTAGGGTGAAATTTCTTTCCCATTGCAAAATTATAGCCTTTGTCTTAAATTTTCAACAATAACAAACTATTTTAAACTTTAGAAATTTTTCTAAATTATCTTTTATTTATTATTACCGTAAAAGTATGAATTTTTATAATAAATTTTTTAGAATTATTTAAAGGTTACATAGTTTTAAACACATAATTCTTCATCTTTATGTACTAAAATGCTTTTTTAATCATAATTCAGAGATACCACCTGTTCTTTGTTGCATTATTCGAGAAAGGGCTTTTTAAATCAAAGAATTTAATAAAGTTTATTCTTTTTACATTGAATTGTTTTTTTGTTTGTTTTTTAAGTAAGCAAAAATTGAAAAAAAAAAAAGAGGAATCTGTGATTTTTAGAATAAGAGTAGTTAGAATTTCTTAATATTATTCAATCTTAGTCTACACTACATTGTCAAATTCTTTAAAAAATGCACATATTATTTTCATATTTTTAAATGTTTTTTTTTTATATATATTGAATACAGAAATAATTTGTATTAATATAATTATTTATATTTTCTTTCTCCAGTGGTGTCATTCTATGCAGTAAGAAGAGTCTTCGAATCCAAGACAGTAACAGTGTACAGTTGTAAACACTGTACTTATTCCACTCGGAGACGCAATGACATGGCAAAACATCAAATAAAGCATACTCGCAAACCTTGAATGCATTATTATACCTTCTTTAAATCTGCTTCCTTTGTTAGAATAAATGCTGAAATCTTGTTCTAGTTTTCTTAGTTTCAATTTGATATTATTTTTTTCTATGCATTTACATCTCAAGTAAAACTTAAATTGTTTTTTAATGTTATTTGTTTATTTTTTCCTGCTTAATGTACTGCGTTTTTATTAATGTGTTCTTAATTTTTGAAGAGATTTAATATTCAGATTCTAACTTTTAGTTGTATTCTTCTACTATCAAAATTTTTAAAAGTATTTTGTGTGTTAAATGTTTTTATAATCACAACTGAATATAATTTGTAATAACAATGTGGCAAGCACAAGTGACAAACAGTTATTTCACCGCTATAAGCAACTACTATTAGTGTTACAATCATTATATAACAGGATACTCCTATAATTTGTGTGAAATAGTTATTCACACTAAAATTTAATATATTGCTGAACTATAAGTGTGTAAAAAAGTTTAAAACCTAAACAAGAGTTTGAAGCCTATTTGTGACATTTTAATGCAATGGTTCCCAACCTCTTTTAGCTATTGCCCCCTCTAGATGTTGATTACACCTATTGCACTTCAATCTTTTTTTCTTTTCTTTTTTTTCATCAAAAAAAACATGTTTTGCTGTTATAAGCCTCAATAATACTGAAGTGAAAAAAATAATTAAAATGTAATTTTGTTAGTTTTTTTTTTTTTTTTTTCAAAAAAAAAAATATTTGGGGGATAATGAGTAAAACCGGAATATATATATTTTTTTTAAAAAAATAAAAAGTGTTGAACATTAAAATTTGAAAACTCTATTGTTCACCTTTATATTGACTTGTGCTTTCAGTTAAAGCATGAATGTTCCTCAGAGGTTTGCTTTCAAGCAAATATTCGACTTATTTCTTTGTTCTGAGAGGATCTGGAAGACTGATCTTTGTCCAGCCCAAAATATGGTGAAAAAGTTCAAAGATTTAATATTTTATTTGTTTACTTTATTTATTTATTTTTTTTAATTCTTCGTCTGAACGATTGGTTTTGTATACACATTCAATTTCAATATTTGCTAGCTTTTTATCACTGTTTTCTTTTTAATACTCATCGCCGCCTGAGAGTTATCACCCCATTGAGGGAGAAATCGTCCCTAGTTTGGGAACCACTGCTTTAATACATTACATCATTTGCGCTGTTCATCTCACATGTGATTGTATTTGACTATTATAAATAATTACAAAAAGTGCTTAAATAATGATCCTGCATAAAGTTGGCTTATCTTAGTATGAAATAGATTAACGATAATTGTGAGGGCGCTGTTCATCTCATCATCTCACATGTGATTGTATTTGACTATTATAAATAATTACAAAAAGTGCTTAAATAATGATCCTGCATAAAGTTGGCTTATCTTAGTATGAAATAGATTAACGATAATTGTGAGGGCATGACATCTATTCATCAAGCTGTCTGTAAATTACATTAACATTATGAAAAGTGTTAATTTGATGCACACGATGATTATATTCTCCAAAGAAAGGTTATACAATTTCCTGCAGAAGATTAAACGGTGGTTAAAAATGGCACGCCTTTTAAAATACTTTCCAAGATACTGACCGAAAATTTTTCTTTATTGTCCTATAATCCTCGAAGGAAAACTCTATTTAATAAAAGCCAATTTTTTTTGGTAGTCTCAATCTTGTGCACATGACTTTTATATCTGTAAATGATATCCTGAACATAAATAGTTCTATACTGAGTTTTCTTCCTCAGGTGAAAACTGATCACACGAACTCTCTATGACATTTATCTTTTGTTTAATTTATTTTTTTCCATTTTTTTTTTGGGGGGGGGGTTACCTTAAACAATCTATGGTTTGTGAAAAGGAGCACATAATGTTTTTGGTGTTGCTTATTTTAAATTAGGATGAAAGAAATAAGAATTATTTTGTTCATGTGTGTTGATAATATGTAAACCTGATGATTAAAATAAATACGAAAAGATGAAGAATTTTGCTTTGATGAATCTTTAATTTCATAATTCTGTGTTTTAAATTTTTCTATAACAATGCAGCTGCTATGGTGTTTTTTACCATCCACATGGCCATTACCTTTCAGCTATCTTTTTTTTTTTTTTATGGCACCCTGCATGTTGAAACCTGTCATTCTGGTTCATTTGTACCAGCCTAAATGAAGTTAAAATAAAAAATGCAATAATGATAAGGTATTTTATTTTAAGGAATCCTTTATTTATCATTTAATCATTTTTAAAAGTTTCCTGAACCATGCAAATGTTATAATTTTTTTATATATTTTGATAATTTAATTTTTGATAATCTATAATAATTTTTATGATAATAATGATGTTATAATGTTTTTCATTCCCTTTCTTTCAGTTGTTTCATTTTGTATTNTTTTTTTTTTTTTTTTTTTTTTTTTTTTTTGTATTTGTCATGAATAATATATCTTTTCTTTTTATTTTAGTATTCTTTGAGTGTAATGATGGACTCTCTTCGGGAATTGAAAAGACAAAAGGGAGAAAGAAGCTTCATTTTTGTCAATTTTGTAATTATTCTACAAAAAATCATTGCAACCTACAATCTCATATGAGAACTCACACGGGAGAAAAGCCCTTCGTTTGCTGCATTTGCCAGAAGACCTTCTCTGCTCGGTACAACATGATCCGGCACATTTCACTAAAACATGATCCCAAAAAACAGCTAAAATAGTTAAATGATTGTTCATTTCCAAACTATTTGTAATAGTTTTAGATAAATAATTATCTGGAAGTTATCAATAAAATACCATCAATTGTTTTTTTTTTTTTTAATTTAGCTCAAATTTATTTAATTTTAGTAACTAATATTATGTATGTATATAGCACTTAATATTATATTGTGTTATCTTTGCTGTATGAATTGGGCAAAACTAGCATTGTTTTCAGTTGTGTAGTTTCATTTACTTATGACTTCAAAAAAAAAAAAAATGATAGAAACCTTTAAATTGTTTTTGCAAGAGCAATAATGAAAAAAATAAGGCACATTACTTTCAAAAGTCTTGTGATTTATTATTACATAGTAGTGATTAAAGTCGATTATGAAAATAATAATGTCTTGTTTTTTGTTTTTAGACTGACAAAAACAAACTTACTTTCTCCTTTTCAATCCACTTTAAAGCGTTTTCTAATTTCATTATTTTCCATTTTTTGATTATCAATCTGTTCGTTTGTGTTTGGCAATGTCAAAATTTTATTTGGCAATATTTTCTTCTTAGTGATAGAATCAGGATAGTTTCTTTTTTTTTTCTCGGGTTTCTGAGAAACAATTATAATTTGTATTGTTATTAGGTACACAGTTCCAGAAAATTCATCAGTCAAACCATTTGGAATTTCAATTTATATTCTGTAAAAAAAAATTTGCATTTAGCAATCTAGAAACCATTGGAACTTACTACATTATCCAATTAAAATTTAGGGCCGGTATAGCCTGGTTGGTAGGAGGTTGGACTCTTGTTCGTGGCTAGGGAGTTTGAATCCAGCTGGGCCAAAGAATCCAAGTGTATTAAATGGTGACTGGTGCACGTTAAATCTATCTGGATCACTAAGTCCCCATAACAAATCAATGTCTCTGGGGGTACTGAATGGGTCCGCCTTGTAAAACAGGCTGACGTGTGTGAGTGGCTGAAGTATTCTTGGCCATAGATGGCACCACTGAAAAGCAAAAAACGCACCCTCTACCTTAAATTAGATTGGTTTCCCAAGCAGGCTTGCTTTCATGGTAAGTAGACAATAAAAACAACGGCAAAATTTCATTTCTTTAGCTAGTAGAAATTTCTATTGATGATACCTATTTAGCAATATGACGATGAATTCTACTTGCTTCCATTTCTTCTACCAATTTTGAATTCCTCTATGTTAATGAAACTATTTTTATTTTTCAGCTATTGATTCTCTATCTTGGAAAGGGAGAGCTCTGAAGAAACCTATTCAATCAAAACATCGTTCTGTCTATGCATGTAGTGCCTGCTCATATGTGTCCAAGAATATGACACATCTTCAAGATCATCTTAGAACTCATACTGGAGAACGTCCTTATTGCTGTCCTGTTTGTAATAAAACATTTGCAGTGAAAAGTAATATGAATAGACATTTTGTTACACGGCATTCTAATTTTTTCTTGAAAAGCAGTGATTAAATCAGAGAATTTAGAATTTATATATTACCTACTTACTGACTTGTTCTCTTTTATGCCTGGTGACACATAAGGCTCTTATCTTCTTGTGTCAGCTCACTCAGTATTTTTCACAAGATCCCGCCTGTCTTCTTCCACCTTTCTTCTCCATGTTAAAATGAGTCTGCCTCTTTTTTGTTTGCCTTCTAGTGCCCATGGCCCCATTTCCATCTTTTTCTTAAGTTGTAAAGTTATGAATTTGTAATGGTCTCAGGCCAGGATATTTTTAGAATATTACTCAACCATCTGTTTTGCCAACTATATTTAGTTTTGTCAGTTTTAGTCTTTAACGTTAAATTATTTGATCTCCAAACTTTTAAAAGGTTTTTTTAAGCAAAATTGTGCTTCTCTCCTATTTCTGCATCTGTTCCCCCCTTCAGTTGTTGTTCCAACAGTTGTTGAGTTAATTGATAGATTATTGTTTTTCTATTACTACCAGGTCTATGTTTTGGTACTTTTCGACTAAGCTGATTCTTGTACTTCTCCTTTATAAAAAGTTTCAGAAAGTAGAATCTTTTGGAACAGAAAAAAAAAGGTTACGGGCTCAACTAATTATAAACTCTTACACCTAGCTAACCAAAACGTGCCAAATAAAGACTGCATACCAAATATTAAAATAAATAAAATATTTCAAGGGAAACATTTTTTTTTCTCCATTCTTGCTAAAATGGTAAAGCAAAATTGCCGAGGATAAAAAGAAAAATCACCTCTAATTGAAAGAAAGATATCAATTAAAGAAACAAAAATCTCATCTGGAGCTGTATGTTAATTGACAAAACAAGCATCAACCTTTTCGTGATTGCTACTTGCAGAATTCTTCATGTAATCGCCGAAAGGAATTTATCGACAATTAAAATTCCAACCACTTCTCGATCAATAGACTTCCTGTGCAATACATTTTGAGTGTTCAAAATTAAACTGGAGCTCGATTCTGGATGTGAATACTATACTCTGTTGTAAGTTAAGAAAAAACCATTATCCTTTTGAAGTGAGCCTGTTTACATGTAATGGACGAACATATAACAACATCGCCAACTCATGAAACGACATAGCACAGCCCTCCTTTTGCTTGCTTTCTTAAATCATGAGAAATGTGGAAAATAAAACTTATTGAATAAAAAGAATTGTATTGTTAATAAGAATTAATAAAAAGGATATATCTAAAAATCGTAACAAGTATACGTCTTTCTTTTCGCATTCATAATAAATCATACCGATATAAATTATGTGTTACGATGTTCCTAGCCCGTAGGGCTATCTACACCTTCATCTAAGATAGTATGGAGAATAAGGGAAGAGAGGGGGTCAGAGTGGTTACGCAAGCGTATACGTGTAAAATAAATTTGTGATTAATCAATTCATTGTGCATGACAGTGCACAGTCTAAAATGGTTAGGATACAAGAGCATAAAGCAGTTACATAACACTTCTAGAGATATATATACAGCGTGAGGCGATCGTGTGAGAAAAGAGCAAAGGCCCTTTTTAGGGCCATTACACTTTCTTCGTAATACTGGAGTATAATTACTCGGCATGAATAAATTAGATATGTATAAGTGAATACGAAATCTAGGTTAAAATATATAATGTGATAATAATAAGCATTGGAAATATTTACAGCGGAGTTCGAGTATGCGAGGTAGAGCGATAGGCCTTTTTAGGGGCCAAGCGGTGATACGCGGCTAATTTGAACATAATAATAGCATGCAGAGGAAATGCATGAGATAACGAAATCGTAGTCTGGGTTACAGATATAATGGCGAATGATAAAAACAATAATAAAGATCAATATGTACAAAGTATATTACATATGTACAAACATATTGTACGTATGTACAAACGTATTGTACATATGTACAAAGGGGGTCGATCGGAAGCGAGCGGACGGGGTGAGAAAATGCCCTTTTTAGGGCCTGGGAGCGTCGAGTCTATCGAAGGATGCTGAGGAGCGGTCGCATCTCTAGAATCCCTTCATCTTTCCCTCGCCTCCTCCCCCCCCCGAAGGGCTTCATTGGTGCAGATTGATGCAGTTCATTTTGAGAGCGCTCGCATTTGATTTATTAATTAAAATATTTAGAGAGAATGCCATCGCTAATGAAGAAGGCAGTGGCAGGGCTGAATTTGGCATTATCGTTAATGATCTCAAAGTCAAATGAATTTTTAAAGTTGCACATGGTGCAATTTGTAGCTTCTTTGTAAAATGATGCGTTCAATCTATTTATGTAGTTGTCCAATGGATCTATTTTTAGGTCCTGGTGGATAGTTTTATTGCTGATATAGCAGGGTGCACCAGTGATATACCTAAGGGTTTTGTTTTGTACTGAGTTTAATTTCTTGATTTGGGTTTTTGTGAGAGTGCTCCATGCAGGGGAGGCGCATGTTAGTATGGGTCTAATACACATAAGGTATATGGCTCTTTTAGTCCTTAATGCCATTTTTGAGTCTTGCGATAGCATGGGTCTTAGGGCGAGGTATGCCGCTTTTGTCATAATATTGTTAATGTGGAGATTCCAGTTTAATGTATTGGACAGTGTTACTCCTAGGTATTTCGCACTGTTGGTGATAGGGATATTTTCGTTGAATAGTTTAATCATGTTATAGTTACAGTCTTTCTTTTTATATCTTCCTTTATTGATGAGGAGATTTGATTTAGATGGGTTTATCCTCGTCTTCCAGGTCATGCACCATGTTTAGGCTAGTTTGTATTTTTCGAACTGCTACTTTTGTGCTTAATGATTTGGTAAGTATTGTCGTCGGCATAAAATGCAGTTTGCATGTTTATATCGTCTCTGATAACAGGGAAATCTGACGTGTAGATGAGGAAGAGCACTGGTTCTAGATAATAAATCATTCTAAAGTATAATAAATATTGTTTCTTGCAGACGGTTTTCTACAGCGAAACAAAAGAAAAAAATATATATATTTATCTCGCATTTGATTTGTTAAGGGAATACAGCATAAGACATGTCATTTTTAGCGGTCCAATCAAATCCAATGCTCTCTCAATTCATATTGTTTCTTTTTCATGAACTAATGTTCTTATTTATCGAAATACGTCGCCTAATCTAGGATTCCAGTAAGACTACGAAACTGTAACCCTTTTTTTAATAATTTTATGATATATATCGTAAAAGATAGCATGAATTAAATTTCTGTTCGATGTGTTTACTTTTAAAAGCTTTTATATTGTTTTGAAGGCATATTCAAATAATTTGTGATAACTAAATAAAATTGAACTATATGCAGTCATGGGTGATTACTTAAATCCTATGTCGTAATGGTATTTTCTTAATTGTTACAATTATTAATATATAGTGCATAATAATTAAGAATAGTTACAATTATTTTTTGACAAATCAAGCCGAGGTTTCATCGCCAATGGGATATAAATAAAGATTATGAAAACTACGTTTTTCAATTCATTAAATAATTTTCTTTTTGGCAGACCTAAACTAAAATACGTTAGGTGCATTATTTCATAATTACCTTCAATTACTACCGTTTCATCTTTTCTAAGTACTGAAACTTAGTTTTAGGTTTTTCCTATAAGAGTATTAATATGTCTTCGTTTTTTTTTAAATTAATTTTTTTGTGCATGAGAAACGTAGATCTAAAATTCAAAGAACAATAAATAAAAAAAACATTGATTTTATTTTTTTTATATCTAGTCTTTCAACTTATTTTTTACCCTAAATGTTTTGTTAATACTTGAAAAAAAGCATTAAAATTTTATTTCGGCAAGTTTTATTGCATTTTTCCTTCTAAATTTCAAAAATTATGAGAGTATGGACCTCTTAAATCATAACAAAAAATGTGTTGAATAAGGTTATAACCAAGGTTAGGATGCTGATGACTTAATTCTTGAAGAACGCCCCTAAAAATCCAAAAAAGAAAGAATCTTGAAAAATGGCCTTAAATAAGCGTCCTTTAACTTTTTGGTGCCATGTTTTATATAAACAATTTTTTTTTTTAAAAATCTAATTCTTTACCTTTATTTATAAATTTAAAAAATAAGTAAAGTAGTAATGAAAATAATTATGTAATATAAAACAATATGTAAGTAAATACCTAATAGATAAATAAGAATTTATGATTCTTTATAGAATTAATAAGTCTTTAAGATAGAATCTTCAAGAACATCAGAATTGCATTGTATTATCAAATTTTTTATGATATTCTTAAAATCGAAAGAACATCTTTTGTCCAAAAGCAAATTCTTATATCTTAAAAACTCCATTCAACACCAACATCTGTTATTTGAAGCATTTATGCATCTTGCATTTTAAATATATTTAAAATGCAGGAGGCAATCCAAATTTGCAGTAATTTGTAAAATAAAAACTAAGATTTACTCGTAAAATGCTCTTAAAATAATAAATATCAATCAAAATTGATTAAAAATAGACCAAGTCAATTATAAAAAATACCCTATTAGGGAAAAAACAATCACATATGCCAAAAAAAGAAAATGCATTTTTCATTAGCTTCCTACCCCTAGTAGTAACTTTGTAAAACGTTGATATTCAGAGATGTTAATTTAGGGCCAAAGCAGTTTTTGATAATGGCAGCCGTAAGAATTTTATTTCGAAGGAATTTTTCGTTTTTTTTTTTTTTTGTCTTTAATTTTTAATTAAGAAATAATTTTTTAATAACATCATAATTAGGTAGGTATAATTTTTAAAAATCAAAGTCTTTGAATCAAGTTTTTTTTTCTTATTATGAATTAAAAAAAAGGGGGTATAATACTCTGGCTTATTAGTCATTTTAGAACATTTGCTGAGGTAGCTATCGATGTATTTTAATATGTTTTTAAGTTATTCATTATTCAAAATATCAATTTAGCGTCAGAAATGATTGAATTTAAAATCCATGCTATTAAACCCGAATGTGGCTGTACTGTATCAATTTTGAGATAAAACCTTCTTAAGGAGCCATGGGAACTCAGGAAATAGAGCGTTCGCCCTCCAACGAGGTGAACTGGTTTCGAAATCAGCGATTAATGTCTATTTAATAAGTATGATGTTAATTGTAGTTATTTTTATTGATATAAAACATTTTAATTTATCTTTTCAAATTTTGAAATATGTAAAAAAATTATCTAAACAGTGATATCCAATGAAAATTCAGGACAACAGTTAAAATATTATGTTTCATATAACAATCAAAATATTATTATGAATTCTGGAAAATGACACTGAGAATCACAGAATTTTAACAAACATTCTAATAACGTAACAAATGCAATGAAAAAATTTTCGAAAGTATTTTTGTCATAAGATACTAAAAATTATAAGCAAAATCTAAAAAGCACCAGCAGCATATGCTGCTTTATCTACTTTATCTTTCTTTGCTGCTCGGTTTTTTTGGGATACAGCAATTTTTTTGAGCTTTCCTTCTTTGATTCTGACTGCAAAATTTGCAAGGCACTTGCAACAACAAATCTCTGTGCCCATAAATAAATAACTTGCTTCAGGAGTTGCCAGGATTTTGTGAACAAGACGTAATAATCAAAGAAAGAGGCACTACTAGTAGAATATATTATAATAAAAGTTACTTTCGAACTGAAATAATATCTTCTTACACAGCAAAAGAGGAATCATTTGAGAGGTCGGGGGCCGTGGCACCTCCAAAAAAGCTTATAACTCGAAGAAAAATTACCAAATTTGAAAAATTCTTTTTGCATATAATAAAGTACCCCTAAAAGTATCAAAAACAGAAATTCGATTTTTTTTTTTATATAGATTTTCATTGATTTTGGTATCCACTGTAGCCTTAAGGAGCCATGGGAACACATGAAATAGAGCGTTTGCCTTCCAACGAGGTGAACTGGTTTCGAAATCGGTGATAATTGGTCGATAGAAATTCCGCTCGCACCGACCACAGTGCTGACGTAAAATATACCCAGTGGTAAACGGATCATAGGTTAAAGTTCCCTTGCCATCAAGCTAACCTTGGGAGATTTTCCTCTCTATTTTACACACGTGCGAGTTAGTTTCGTCAAAAACTCCTCGACAAAAGCAAATTTCTCTCAATACTTGATCCAAGAATTCCCTTCTCTTCTGGATTGGATTCAAAATTGGATCGGTTGTTCAACAACTGTTATAAAATGAAATAAGATACCTACTCAAGGTAACAAAATTAGAATGAAAAAGAAATTACGTATGATGCAAATCAAACAAAGAAAATGGTGAAATAATCATGAAGGAACCAGGTGAGACAGTAAGAGACACGGATTATTTATTACCATAGAATAGAATTTACTGAGGAATCTATACCAGAAATATTGATCGATTCAAATAACTGAAGATCGCCAATTTGTGAAAGGGTTTCTTTCTAATTTATGCAACAAACAAGGCAGAAATTACAGTACAGATTTGTTGAGCAACTGAAATAGTTCTTTCATTTTTTTTATGCATGGTCTCTGATTTTTTTTTCTTCTAACGTGTAAAGGAAAGTTAATTTGAGAAAAGAGGAATGATTTTTCAATAGTAATAACAAGTTAAGACTATTTCCATAACTGATCTGATACATGGTTAGCATATTGAAGTTGCAAGTTCTGNTGCCATACAAATCTCTATGGTAACCATAGGCGTATGGCACATTGCCATACAAATTTCTATGGTAGCCATAGGTTGCCATAGATTACCATAGGCTTCTCTATGGTAAATTTTCCTAAGGGAAGTTCTGGCGATGATGTGAACCGCGTGGAAAACTGTTCTGGAGAAAGCCAAGTTCCACGCCGGGGTGTTCCAAAGATGATCATGCAAAGTACAGAATAGTCAGACTATTTTTGAATTGTTCCATTTGAACTTGGATATATATATATTTATTTTTTTTATTTCACCAGGGAACTAGACCCACCCAATTCAAACTAAAGGAATAAAAATGATTTATTTTCTCTCTTTAAGGTGCCAAAAATATATCAGGTATAGTTTTCAAAAGATGACTTTTTTTTTCCTCAATATTCCCCTACATATCTAATTAATTGACGAGTCTTAAATATTTTTTTAAGTTGAAGATCTTTCCATTTTTTTTTTTTACCAATTCAACATCTTTCAATTTTGTTCGAAACTTTTGTAATCAAACTTGATTATAATGTATAAATAAAGTTTTAATATTATGATTGAATTCTATTATACTTTTAGAATTTATTTATAACCTTTTTTTCTACAAATTCAACTTATACAGAATATTTTATAATTCCTGCCACTAATGTTCATTTTATTGACAAAAATAAGGTAAAAAAAGTATAAGTACATAATAATGGTTGCTAAATAATATTTAAGCAAAGAAAAAACATTATTGAAATCTGATGTACTACTATCAAGTTAAGAATGAATCATCAAAACCAGATCAATTGCCTATGGAAACTTGAAAGTGTCTCTTATAATCCATTGTTGGAAACATTCCTTTTGCACACAACACATCAAAATTGCACTAATTTTGTGACTTAAGAAAATAATTCTAAAATAGCGTTTTCACATTATTCCAGCAATAAATTGCGACATCTTTGTAATTATATCGATATATCTCATGGGAGTCATGGTGGCTCAGGGGATAGAGTGCTCACCTCCCGATGAGGTGACCTGTGTTTGGTCGATTCAAATTTTGCATCCGGCTCGCACCGACCACTGTGCTGATGTAAAATATCCTCAGTGGTATACTAATCGTAGGTTGACTGATCCCCTTCCCGCCACCCTTACCATGGGAGGTTTTCGTCTCCATGTAACGCAAATGCCGGTTAGTTCCGTCAGAGAGTCCTCCACGAAGGCAAATTTTTCCCAATACTTGATCCAGAAGTTCCCTTGTCTTCTGGATTGGGTTAAAAATCACAAGGCATAAGTAGTCGTGAACCCAAAATTCGGCCGGCTGTTCCAATGACCGTTATAAAATAAAATAAGATATGGGAGCAGTGGTAGCTCTGGGATAGAACGTTCACCTTCCAATGACATAAAACTGGTTCGAATCCCAGCAATGTCTGGTCGAAACAAAATCCGCACCCGGCTCACACCGACCACAGTGCTGACGTCAAATATCATAAATGGTAGATCATGAATTAAGAGTCCCCTTGCCATCAGGGTATCCGTGGGAGGTTTTCGTGGTTTTCCTATCCAAGTTACGCAAATGAGGCTTAATTCCAGCAAGAACTCCAAGTAGGCAAATTTCTCCCAATAGTTGATCTAGGAGTTCCATTGTCTTCTGAATCTGGTTCAAAATTGCAAGGCTATGGAGTTGAACTCCAGTAGTCGCAAACCCAAAATTGGTTCGGTTGTTCAACGACGGTTATAAAATAAAAGATTTATTGTATATAAATTTATTAAGATTTATTTTTCCTGCATTAAAAATTTCTCTTATTTTGAGAATAACTTCATTTTTTTGTTGTGATTGATGATCTTATCGCTTTTCCTCCCAATTTAATCTCATTTATCTCGAGTTCAAAGTATTATCTTTCAAATGAGAGAAAAATATTGTTAACAAATATTCGGGAGTTAAGATTGTAGGTTATTCCCATCAAATCATTCCTAGTGTAAGTAATCTTGATTTTCATTCACAACTACATTCACTCAATTGTTTTTAATATTGCAAATAGTGTGAAAATGTATTTTCAACTTCCCATTAAATTAATTTCATAAGATGAATTGGAAGCTTTTATTCTGTATATTTAATTAAATTATATTTAGTAAATATATCTGAAATGTAATGCATTTATTTTTTCTACTTATAATAATGTTTCTGGAATTCGCGAAATTACGATACCCCATTGTTTTTTCCCAATTTTGCAAGAAAATTCATTTTATAGATAACAATAGGGAAAAAGAAAATTTTGCATTTATACAAATACATGATTTTGCCTAATTCGGGTATGAAGGTTTCTAGTCTGAAATTAGTTTTACTCTTAAAGCTGCAAATTTTTTGAATGACATTTTTAGCTTATTTTTGCAAGAAATGTGCAAGTTTAAAAACGTCATAACAAGGAATCGCGTAAATGATAAACTTCTAGTGGATATAAAGCACATCATCAGGGTTAAAATTACTCAGTAACCCATGCCCAGAAATGTGGTCGTACGCGACTAGGCGTGTTTTCCTTTTATGACCGGCTCAGGAGCATACGAAGAAACAGTTCATAATAGGGAAGTGCCTTTTGCGGCGAATAACGATTTTTCTGTACATGGGTTCGTATGCTTCTAAACAGGTCATGAAGGGCAAGCTCCCCTAGCCGCATACGATAACGTTTCTGTGCATGGGTTACAAAGCAATTTTAACCCTGATGATGTGCCCTATCTATCTAATTTATCGTAACATTTATGCACCCTCCTGTTATTGATAACATTTTTAAACTTGTACATTTCGACAAAAAATAGGCTAAAAATGTTATATAACAAAAAATTGTAGCTTGGAAAGAGAAACTGATTGCAGATTTAAAATATCCGAATTCCGTTGTAAAAAATCTTATGCAACGGAAAGTGAAACAAAATCGTTCCCAAATGTAACCCTCAAAAATTTGTATCTTAGAATAATTATAATCGATCAATAATTTAAAATTCAAGTACAAAATTGAACATAATTTTTTTCGAAACAATTAGGATGTTAAAAGAAAATTTTTCTTTTTGTGCAAAAAAAATCTTATGTTAACATGAAGATGGGAATGTTTTTGATTTGCTTATTTTGTTGACAAGGAAGTGGTGTGAAAAAAGTCAACAAAAATATATTTACGAAACATTTGTACGGTAATTTTCGGCTATCCTAACTTTTTCTGTTATCTGTTTATTTCTAATGGGAATATCATTCTCAAGTTCAAAAGATTGCGAATCTACGAAAGCTTTTCTTATCTAATTAAAGATACCAAGTCAAAATTCACTGTCGTACAATTGGTAGTCTTTTTGAATTCCTTATTTAGTAATTTAAGAAGGCATTGTATACAAATAACTTATATTTTTACATTATGCACTATTACGTACACTAGTGCGTAATATAAAGATGCGTCTAATGTGATTTTGTCATATGTATCGAATACGTAATGGTGTCATATACTATTATGCTCCATTCCATACTATTATATGCAAGCGATATATATTACAAGATTTTTATTATGAGAAAAAACCTTTAGCCACATAACTAAAACAATAAAATTGTTTGTTGAAGCTATTTAATGGCTAATTTTTTTTTCTTTCTTTAATTGATTCATAAAAAGAATCAAGATTCTCCGAAGTTACTAAGCGAATGATTTTCTGGAGTTGTTTGTCACAAAGTGCACTTATCGCGTTCTTCCACCCGAAGAATACTCAAATATTGCCACTTACTGCTTTATTCCAATGAGAATCTTTGGAATTAATCTTTTTCGCAACATAAATTAATGGTATTATTTTAAACAAGACTAAAATAATCATTCACCCAAGATATTTTTTTTAAATGTCACTATCCTACTGCTTCCTTTTAGCTATGCAGTTCGAATCAAAAGAAGGAAATTTTAGTAAATATTTTTTGCTAAAATTAACCAAAAAATCAATAAAATAAGAAAAAAATATAAATAACATAAGAAAATCCTAAATTCTCTATAATCAAGCGGATTTTTAAATAATATATGTATGGATACGCTGGATATTTTTTCACGTGGTATTCCGTAATCACTTCCCTTAATATATATTTTTAAGATCTTGGTTAAAAAAGAGGAAATCTCACATACGTAACATAGGAAGAAGCAAAAATGCCATTCAAATTTGAGAGTAACTGTTGTGGTAGGAAGGATAGGCACAAAAGGATTTAACGTCAGCACTGTGGTCGGTGCGAAATTTGAATACCCATTGCTGAGATTCGAACCCGGTTCACCTCATTGGAAGGCGAATGCTCGAGCCTCCACGGCTCTGTAGATTGTTACTAGCGTGATTTTGCAAAACGCTACGGATTTCCCGTGAACGGCATTTGATCTTCACTAACGCAAGCACGAATATTTCACTAGAAATCGCGGTATCATTAAAAAGTAGTTGTAGTTCATTGACGTCGCACTAGAGTTGCACAATGGGCTATTGGCGACGGTCTGGGAAACGTTCTTGAGGATGATTCGAAGACATATGCCATTACAATTTTGATCCTCTGCAGAGGGGATATTAACCCCGCTTCGGTAGCCCGACGATCTGCACGCGAAGTTGAGCACTTTACAGTAGAACAGTTTAACGAGGACCATTACAGCAATCCCTCGGTCCCTACACAGACTAATCCAAGTGGTTACCCACCCGCACACTGACCGCAGCCATTGATCATTAAAAAGTAAGGATAGCGTTTTGGTTAACGAAGGATTAAAAGTTTGCAAAATCTTTTTATTGTGTCCTGTTAAAATGCGTTAGGTCAAGACAAAATGTGATTTTTTGTAAAAATAGTGCATGCTAAACAAAACTAATATAGCATTCGAAATTTTAACTCTAAAATATACCAGACAAACATATCACCAAAAGAACAGTGTAGTACTAGAGTTATTCGTCTTAATTCTATTCGCATGCCCTCTGAACGCACTCCTTTGCTTTTCGACCCCACATCGTATGGTAAATGTTATATATTTTGTTAACTTAAAGTTATATCACCCTTGCAGTCACGTTGATTAGTTTTACATCAAAATATCCTCAGTATTGTTTCTAATTATGTGCAATTAGTGTTTATCGGAATTATCTTTAGAAAAGAAAAACGCGAAAGCATCCTATTGCCTATATAGAAATCGTGATGTTTTTCACTGAAAACATTCTCTTGGACAATTCAAAAATGTAACTTATCATCTTAGTGCCATAAGCTATGCATATAAAAATTATTTATAGCTCTATTCAAAAAAATGTGAAATGTAATAAATAAATTTTATCTTTATAAATTTTTAGGCAGTAAGATTGTTGTTGTCAGAGTCGACCTCCTGAAAGTATGGCTTTGAGTGATAATCAAAAGTTCATAACTAATGTATTTATGCAACTGCCTCAACCATTGAATAAAGTGCAATGTATGCATGTGTATATAGATGGAAGTCTAAGAAATTTTCGTACCAAAGACATAACGTTGCCCAAGAAGCCTGAATCTGTTGAGGGTGAGTAAAAAATATTCCGGTTAACAATTTCATCATACATTGCTCACTTATTTGACTTTTATAGTAACTCTTTAACTTTACAGCAATAAATAAAATAGTCACACATCAATTTTATTTTAATAACATTCAACCATATAAATTTAAAAGCTGTCGTTGAGCTGTAATAAATTTTTAAAAAAAAGGTTAGTATAAATAAAAATATTAAGAACGAACGGGACATGCGTTAAAGATAGAGCATTACTTAACTTTTCGTCTATCCTTTGCCCACATTTTGCCTATTTTTTTTATCTATTTATTATGTTGGGTAAATATTAAGATGTCTAGATTTGTTCATATTGGTCCAAGAAAGGCTTTCAATAGTGGACTACGATTTATTTCTATTTAGACCCATTTTAGATCTACAATTTTGGGGTGTCTAGATTTTGTAATATTGGTCCTTGATAGAAATGAATCTTGTTCTAATATTTTATTCTATTTTATGACCGTCACTGAACAGCCGACTCAATTGTGGGGTTACGACTACTAATGATCATCTACGTAGCCTTGTAATTTTGAACCCAATCCAGAAGACAAGGGAACTCTTGGGTTAAGTATTGGGAGAAATTTTGCCTTCGTGGAGAACTTTTCGATGAAACTAAACCGCCTTTGTGTTACATGGGGAGGAAAACAGCAAAAGCCTCCCACAGTTAGCTTGACGGCAAGGGGACTCTAACCCATGATCTGTCTACAACTGATGGATGATATTTCACGTCAGCACAGTATTATGTGACAGCCGGGTGCAGAATTCGGAACATTTAATAAAGAAAAACGTTGTCAAAATTTGATGAATCAATGATCAGATCTGTCAGAGGAATGATGATGTATAAATCAATAAAGCCAGTTTATAAGTCAAATAAATTGAAAATAGAAATTGTCACCCCCACTTTTCAGTTTTTTCAATTATTTTTAAAAATTCCTATCTCATATGGCCATCAAATTTACTGTTTTAAATATTGCCCAACAGCTCCTACCATTTTCTTCCGATAGTCAAGCAGGCTCTGGTGTTTTTCATCCCTTTTGCCTTAATAGGGATTTTTCATATTTGAATAGTGTTTAATTATTTTTTGTGACTGTGTTTATTAAGAGATTTACGAAACACCACTCTGATTTTCACACTTTTTTCTATATTTTGTTCGAAGAAAGTTTGCCTGTATATCAGTAACTCGTTAACCCTTTGACGCAGACAGATTATCGAACATATTTTTTATACTTTTTTCATTATTTTGTATTAGTTAATCAAAAATAAGTGAAAAATACATATATAATATTTCAAACACTTATAGGTATGGCATAAAACATCGGTTACACCATGATCGAAACACCGGTTTTTTCAGCTTTAAAAATAAAATCTTCCAAATATAGTTCACTTCCAAACAATAATTTTTCAAATTCGCACTTATTTTCAGTTATTTACATTTTAGGTAGAATACATTTACAGATCTAAGAATAAAAGTTATTCATTATTGAAGTTACTTTAATTTACAAAATCAATCATCGAAATTTTTGAACATGAATTTTAAAAAAAATGTCTAACTTATTTTCGATTTTATATTTTAGTACAAATATAATTCAGACTATCTGACAAATTTTTTTTGTAATTATTAAAATGTTTTTATGACTAAAATAACAAAATATACTTTTGCTTCTAATTGGAGCGTCAGAAAAAATATATATAAAAGGGACACTGGTCTGCATCAAATGGTTAACCATGCAAATTTAGTAAACTTACTTTAACAACGTATAGAAAATAATATTTCTTTCGTTTTGTTAAAGCGTCATTTTTTAATGTTAGTGTTTTGATAATGTAAATTATATTTGAAATATCGCAACAATTTAATTGCAGAATTACCTGAAATGGAGTTTTGTGGTTCAGCTACTGATTTTGATGTGGGAAATCTTGCTGATTACTACGCTCGACCAGTTAAATTTTATAGAGATCCTTTCAGGAAGGGTGACAATACCATTGTATATTGTGAAACTTACTGTCGTGAAGGTTTACCTACATGTGAGTTGTCATCAATAGTGCTTAATATAGAGAAATATTTAAATTAATTGTAATTGCCTAAAACATTCTTATGTTGTTGTTTTTTTTTTCAGTTGCAAATAATCGCTATAGGCTACTAGCTGCTGCCAAGAACTATTTCCATCAAGTCAACCAATTTACATTTCATCAACCGTTCAGTCTTTTCAGAACAGATGAGGTTCCTCTCACTCATATGCAACATGCCTTTTTTCCGGATTCACGTAATTCATTTAATCTATTATAAATGTATAAAACTGGGTAAGCTTAACACTAGGAAGTATGAGTCTTAAAGAAACATACGACTTGATGCAAGTTTCACTTGTTAACACTTTAAAAGCACTTTCTACTTCCATCAAGTCAACCAATTTACATTTCATCAACCGTGCACTTTTCTTAAACGAGATGAGTATCTTCTGGCAACATGCCTTCTCACCGGATTCACGTAATTCATTTAATCTGTTATAAATGTATTAAACTGGGTAAACTTAACACTAGGAAGTAGTCTTAAGGAAACATACGACTTGATGCAAATTTCACTTGTTAACACTTTCTACTTCCATCAAGTCAACCAATTTACATTTCATCAACCGTGCACTTTTCTTAAACGAGATTAGTATCTTCTGGCAACATGCCTTCTCACCGGATTCACGTAATTCATTTAATCTGTTATAAATGTATTAAACTGGGTAAACTTAACACTAGGAAGTATGAGTCTTAAAGAAGCTTACAACTTGATGCAAGTTTCACTTGTTAACACTTTAAAAACACTTTCTACTTCTATCAAGTTAACCATTTTACATTTCATCGACCGTGCACTTTTCTTAAACGAGATGAGTATCTTCTGGCAACATGCCTTCTCACCGGATTCACGTAATTCATTTAATCTATTATAAATGTACTAAATTGGATAAGCTTAACACTAGGAAGCATGAGTCTAAAAGGATTTCACAAAATTCGGATTCACGTAATTCATTTAATCTATTATAGATATACTAAATTGGGTAAGCTTTATTCTATGAAGCATGAATCCTAAAGAAACATACGACTTGATTCAAATTCACCTGAGGTATATCACGTATTTTATTGCATATATATTTATGCATTAACTGCAATGTGGTTTTCGAAGTCTCTTGCCAAATTTGCTAAAATTATTTCATAACCAAGTAATGAAGAGCACATTCTATTAAAGTATATAAAAAATTTAAAAAAAAAACATATGAAAGATTTAAAATTAGTCCACTCTCTTCTTATATATAAAGATATATATATATGTTTAACTAAATAAAAAAAGTATGAAAAAGTCTTTCTTTACTTCATCCTTTATTCACGATTTTTTTCTTTTTTGTTTTAGGATAAATGGTGCTTCACTGCATCTAAAAAATTTTAGCACACAATATAACAAAAATAGATTAATCATATCAAATAATGACGAAAACATTCTCACACAAGAAGTGAAGGGAAATATGTTTTTTTTCATTGTTTCAATTGGACATCGTAATAAGAGAAGTCTTTATTTTTCTTTTATATGCAGTATAAAATGTGTTGTTACGAGGGTGAATAAATTTAGAACCATTCAAGTAGCCAAAAAATAAATAACATTCAAATTCAAAACTTCAAAAACTATAAAAGTTTTGTTTCATATCAAAACTGTTTGTTACATTTAGCGCCATTTCCTTGAAAGATTTTTTATTTATTTATTTTACCTAGGTTCCGGATTTGTATGTGGAGACGAAATTGCAAAGGCCCATCACAAGGCCTGCTTATATGCAGGAGTGAATCTAACCATGTACGAACCAATCACAAATCAAGGACAGGTAAGTTATTTAGTCTCGAAATGGCATAGCTTTTGTAAATACAAATTTATACATTTTTTCAAGATAATATGGTGAATATGGAAAATAAATTACAAAGCAAGAAAAAGTAAGCAACGAAGAGGGGAACCAATTTTTACAATGATAATTTCTTTGATTTCTTTCATGGTGCGATAAATATATCATTCAAAAAGGTAACCAAAAAACAGATAGAATTGATCAAAAGTTTATACAAGTATATTTTTTATATCATTTCCATATTTGTATGTACCTGTTTGTAAGTTTGTAATAAAGCTTTTTTGTGAGAAAAAAAAAGCGAGAGAAGAAAAAAAAAGAAAACGAAACAGAGCAAAACTTACTTTTGGTACATTCTTCACATTTTATCGATGAGAAATATTTCATTTTCTTTAAGAAATATTTGTTTTAAGAGAGAAAAAAATTTAAAAATAATTTTTTCCTTCAGTGGATGTATTCTATTGGTCCTGGTACTGCCATTGACATTACCGACGACATCTGTATCAGCAGATTTATCCTTATAAGAATTGCTGAAGATTTTGGAGTGTCTGTGAAGTTCGGCAATTGGTTGGATTTCTCGAGTTTAAAGCCTATCGAAGCTCGACTCAATCTTGTTGTAGACAACTTGAGTCAAATAGACAAGCAAAGGTATTATTTTATTTCATGCAATAACTACGGCTGTTATACTTGTCTGTTTTAAATTATAGGCAAACTGTCTCATTCAATATTATTTTTTTTAAAATTACATTAGGTTTTGAAACAAATTTTTTCCTTGTCATAAATTACTTGTGTAAAGTTTTAGAAAAAAGTAAAGATTTCATTCGATATTTCCGTTGCAAATACTTGTACTTTTTCCCTAAAAAAGTAACGAAAGTACAAGTAAAAGTACTAAATTTAAAAAGTAACGAAGTACAAGTAAATGTACGTACTTTTTACTTGTTATCCCGAGAATACTCGGGCGTAGCAGAATTTGCCAGTAGGTTTTGTTTTATCACGTTTTTACTCGGCCGAAAGCAAAAATAATAATAATAATAATCTGCTGAGATTGAAAGTTTATTTGGGGTGGCTTTGCTGTTGAATTGTTGGACTGCACACGTGTTTTGTGAGATTGTATATTCAATGGTTGCTGAATTTACATAAGAAAAAAAAGGAGTAAAAAAATGACGTATCACTTCACTAACGTGCGGAAAGAATCTTTTTGTGCTGTGACTTGTTTTAAAAACTATCTTACGAGGACTAATATTTAACTTTTTTCATTTGTCCGAGATGAATAATAAACTAATGGTAAATTTAAATGTTTTTTACACATAAAAGAATTAAAATTTCGACTTAAAACTTGAGTATTACAAGTATGTTTTGTTTTAGTTCCTTGTATTTATAAATGAAATAAAAAATTAAAATTTCAACTTAAAACTTGAGTATCATGTTTTGTTTTAATTCCTTGTATTTATAAATGAAATAGAAAATTGAAATTTCAACTTAAAACTTGAGTATCATGTTTTGTTTTAATTCCTTGTATTTATCAATGGAAAAAAAATTTAAAATTTCAACTTAAAACTTGAGTTTGTTTCGTGAGTTGTGAGTGAGAATATTTCGTTTTAGTTCCGTGTATTTGTCAGTAAAATAAAAATATATGTTGATTTTTTACATTTTTTTTCTTCAAAAAACTTGTTAATGGAAGCGATGAAAAACTTTGGTACACTTGTCTAAGAATAGCCCAATCCATTAAGTAGAATTTTTAAAAAATACTGAAGATTTTTACATTTCTATTAAAAGCATTTTAAATTTCTATTTCTTTGTATATATTCAATAATTATATTTAACTTTTTCAATTTCAGGACTGTGGATGAACTAATTTCCAAATTGGTTATCCGAGAAGGAAAGCCAGTGAAAGTGGCTTTGCTGCCTGAAATAATACAAATTGCCAGCATATGTGGAGAATTTGATCCATATACCTTGCTGACCAAAGTGATGGAAGCACTTAAATCTTCATTGAGATGATAGGAAAGTGTTATATGTTAATTCATAAGTTCGTCATTATGAAGTTTATTCTAATTTTTGAAGGAAAAAAATTAATAGGTATTCTTAAACGTCCCAAATCGTTTCAATGTTGTACAAGTAGCTTACGTTTATTCTTAGGTCTAAGGTGTCAATTTGACTATGGCATTTGGTTTTAATCTATAAGCGCGAAATCTATTAAACTAAGATCGTAGTCCACTGAACTGTTCTGTGACCCTGCCTTATTATCCAGCTTCAAATAAATCGTTTTCCACTGTGGTTGTAAAAATCGTTCTTCTCAATGATTGAGCTGGATTTGTTGATTGGACGTTTCATAAAAAAGCATGTAATTTTCAATAATATGTTTTGTATAGTTTCGATACTTTTGTATTGAGATTGATTAAAGAAAGATTAAATTGAAGCAAAATTCAAAATATCTTTTCTGATTCTCTGAGTTCATTCAGTATAAGCACTGAAGTTTATGTTTCGCATTTGCACAGATTTCACTCTGTCATTGCAATGTTTTTCAAACCATAAGGTTTCTTTTGAGCTATTTTGTAGTTATAGATAACCAAGATTATTCGAATACTTCTGCAGTGAGCAAGTTTATAAATCAGAACAACTTAATAATTTTTTTATAATGATCGAATTTTCGCATACTTAAGACGCAGAGTTAATGATTCAAGGGTCTAATCTGAAATATGCTAATTAATTTGTTCAAGCAATATCGATTTTCAGCTTTTAAAAAAATGGGGAGGGGCGATTGGCACAATCTGGAAAATGAAGTACCATTACATTCATGAGAGTTGACGAAAGCTTGAGTCTTTTAGTATTAATTTCAACTTTTGTATATTTTGTGAAACTACTGGAACTATTTTAAGTATTAATTTTTTTCTGCTCGTTATGTAAAAGTATATGCCAAATAACTTTATGCAATACAAATTATGCAAAAATAATTTAGTGTAAAACCAATTTTCCCTAGAATCGCTATTTAATTTGAAAGTAAAGGGTTACGAATTTAGGATAAATAAAATTTTAAAAAATATAATTTACCGTCTTATTTGTTTGACTTATATCTTAATATATCGTCAGCATAGATCAATCAGCACATTAATGGTAAAACCCTTTAATCATCAATATTTGCATCTTAGCGTGATAAAGCATTGATCACTAAATCAATATTAAAGGTATTCTGTTTTTTTTCTTGCTTACAGCACAAACCTCGAAGCCTATTTTCAAAATTTCGACAAATGTCATGCATCTGTATGTGCCCTTAACTGTGTTTTAATACAGTAAATAAAAACTTCTGATTTTAATAAACTTCAAATCTTCCATGTTTCATGCATAAAAGTATTACTTTCAAATTATTGTTTGAATTTCAGCTGACACTGAAGATTTAGAAAAACAAATTAACTAGCAGTTACGTATCATTTAGTTAATTTATGCAACTTAAAAGTACTTAAATCATATACATTTCATGTCGTATGTAACTTAAAACCTATTTCTTTCCAAACCCATCATAAGAAATTCATGAAACTTTAAAGATTAAAGCTATTGTTAAAATTGTACGTAACATTTACTGTATTTGTAAAAAGAATACTTCAATATAATTTATTTCTCATATTTTAAGGAAACAGTAATTTATTATTTTTGTGATAAAATGTGCTTCATTAAGTAACAAATATTTTCGGACCGTCATTGTATTTAAAAGTTTCAGAAAAATAAATATTGATAAATATATTTTATTTATTAAACATTTAAAAATAATAATATTTTGTGGAACACTCTAACATATAAAAATTTTATTTTTCAAAAAATATATATAAATTGTTTTTCCCAATTTAATCTAGTTCTTTTAAAGAGATCTCATATTTTTACAAACTTCGTAAGATGTACAACACTTCATTGTAGATGCAAATGCTGTTAATATTGCCAAAGCCTAAAAAAAAGGACATTGCTAATAATAAAAATAGGACATATCTACATCTAGGTGTATCAATTAAATAATGAAAATGCTCTCAAAAATACATTAAAAGTTTAAATAACTTAAACATTTTCTATTCTATGATAAATGTGTAGATTAGACTTAAGTTGGTGGACTTTTTTATATACTCCATTTAAGTTATTCTGATAGTGAAAAAATACGAACTCTATTGTTTTTCTACTTAAAATTTTGAAGTAAAAACATGTTTATCACACAAAACAGGGGCAGATGAAAACAAATACGTTTCAAATTTTAAATCTTCGACACTGACTAATAGTTTTCAACCAAGCTGGCAAAACTTAAAAATTGATTGTTGCTTTAAAAGAAGGTATCGAAATTGGTTTTTATAGCCAACAGAAGGGCAAAAATGTTTCAGAAAGCCCAAAAAAGAAATTAAATTTAATTTAAATGCAATAATTGACTCAATGTGTTTGCCATTTGTCACTAAGTGCTCACTGTGTTTACAACGAACACAGTGAATAATGAAAAGATAGTAAATAGTGAAGACAGCACATATAGTTACATAATAAGAAGTATAAATAGTGAGTTGTAGTTGTAGTTCATTTACGTCGCACTAGAGCTGCACAATGCACTTCGGATCATCCCTGAGGATGATCCGAAGACATGTCATCACAATTTTGATCCTCTGCAGAGGGGATGGCACCCCTGCTTCGGTAGCTCGACGACCTGCAAGCGAAATCGAGCACTTTACGGTAGAACGAGGTACGGTAACGAGGGCCAATATCGCACACCCTCGGTCCCTACACAGACTAATCCAAGTGGTCACCCACCCGCACACTGACCGCAGCCAGTGATGCTTGACTTCGGTGATCTGCTGGGAACCGTGTCCTAACGATCAGTCCACTACGGGACCTTATATGAATGGTGAAAAGATATATAGTAAACATGTGATTTGAGAGGTAATAAAAAATTATAATTAGAATAAAATATCGTTGTAAAAAACTTTTACCTTGCTAACAGTATACTTACTACAAAGTTTCACTCTAAAAGATAATTTGCAAAATAAACTTTGTTTCGCAAGTCCAATTAAATTCTAATACTAAGGCATGCACGGAACACTGGATTTTTTACGAGTATACCTAAATAAATTTGAAATATTTCAAAGGAAGGTAAAAAGTAATTTACTTTAGCATTTTTCAATGCTTTTGATAAAGAAGCTTGTTCATGTCTTCACACTTCAAAAATTTAAAACAAGATATTTGGTGCATATTATCATTTCTCATACAACCTTGAAATTCTACTTTCATTTGCGTCATGACATAGATAAGGCTTTTTTATATATATAAAAAGTCATAAAAAGTAGCTCTCTTTTGTGGAATTTAATCATCAAAGAAATCAGCGATGCTGCTGCATATTAAATTTTTTCGACACGTGTTTCATTAAACTGTAATGAACTTTTTGTGCTCCACATCCATTTCTTAAAAAATTGAAATGGATGAGCGAGAAATATGAAATTGTTGTAAAAGTACGATATACATCTCACGATTTCTCAAAATCAAAAAATGTAAGAAATTGCTAAAATAATTTTTTCATAAGTATCGATTGGAAAGTTCAATTTCAGTTCCACTTACTCTGGCAATTCCAATTTCCTTTGCTTCTAATTCGAAATCCGATCGATTCTATCATTCGATCGATTTCCTTCTAATGATACAAAATTGTTGTAAAATTACGTTAAATGTCTCACACTTCCCTCAAATTAAAAAAATGTTAGAATAAATAAAAAAAATTTTTATAAATATCGATTAGAAAGTTCTGTTTTGGTTCTACTTACTCCAGCGATTCCAATTTCCTTTTCTTCTAATTCGAAATCCGACCGAATCTATGATTCTATCGATTCCCTTCTAATGATGCGAAATTGTTGTAAAATTACGCTAAATTTCTCTCAATTCCTTCAAATTGAAAAAAAAATTTAGAAATAGTAAAAAAAAAATTTTTCATGAATATCGATTAGAAAGTTCTGCTTTGGTTCCACTTACTCCAGCGATTCCAATTTCCTTTTCTTCTAATGATTCGAAATTCTATAGATTCTATGATTCGATCGATTTCCTTCTAATTATATGAAATTGTTGTAAAATTACGTTAAATTTCCCTAGATTCCCTCAAATTTCAGAAATTGTTTAAAAAAAATTTCATAAATATCGATTAGAAAGTTCTGCTTTGGTTCCACTTACTCCAGAGATTCCACATTATTTTTCATCTAATGATTCGAAATTCTATAGATTCTATGATTCGATCGATTTCCTTCTAATGATATGAAATTATTGTAAAATTACGTTAAATTTTTCTCAATTCTCTCAAATTTTAGAAATTGCTTAAAAAAAAGTTTTTTCATAAATATGGATTAGAAAGTTCTGCTTTGGTTCCACTTACTCCAGCGATTCCAATTTCTTTTTCCTCTAATGATTCAAAATTTCTGTTTTTCACTATAGCTAAAACTCCAATGATGTTCAGCAGAATAAAAAATATCACTGATTGAAAACATATCTGCAGAAAAAAAAATATTAAATGAATATATTGATGATATTGGACATAATTTGTGTAATTTTCTCTACAAAAATAAATTTTAAGATAAGTTTTCCTGTTTGTAAGTCTCTAAAATCAATTGTTTACGTAAAAATATAGTTGCTTTTACCCTCGTTTGGAATTTTTAAGCAATTCTGGGAACAATGGAAGAAAATAGATTCAAATTCCCTTTTAGATAGTTTTTTTACCGTTTTAATATTTTACTATTTTGAGACATATGGACTTTGTTTCATTAACGAAACATCAAAAAATTCATTTAAAATATCCTACAACTTATATGTATTATGTGCTAAAAAATTAAAATAATCATTTATGTAATATTTAAAAAGAACAAGCAAGTTTAATTAACAGAATTTTTCATTAATTAGTTATCTTTCTTTTAAAGCTATATACTTCTAAGCAAAAATTGCAGTCTCTAGATTGCAAAAGGGCCAAATTGTAAGACTATACACTTATTTAAAATCAGGAAAAAGAAATTGCTTAAAAACTCCTGGAATGCTCTAAAATGAGATTTAAGAGAGAAATCTTTCTCGTCAAATGTTTGGCACTTTAGCTTTCAATAAAATCACATGATTTTGTGACAACATCACTTTTTAACTGTAAAAATCTGGCCTAGATATGTGTGATTTTATAACCATCGTTGAACAGCCGGCCCTATTTTATGGGTTTAGGACTACAAATGTTCCTATCCATAGCCTTGTAATTTTGAACCCAATCCAGAAGAGAAGGGAATTCTTGGATTCAGTATATGGGGAAATTTCATTCTGCCGAGGACTTTTTGATGGAGCCAATCCGCATTTCAGTCACATGGAGAGGAAGACCACGAGAACCTCCCACAGTTAGCCTGACGGCAAGGGGACTCTAACCCATGATCCGTCTACCACTGAGGATATTTCACGTCATCGCTGTGGTCGGTGCAAGCCGGATGCAGAATTCGCATCGACTGGGATTCGTACTCTGTTCGTCGCATTGGTAAGGCGAACGCTCTATCCCCTGAACTATCGTAGTTCAGATATGTGTGATTGGTCAGATTGTCAAAAATAAAGGAAATACAGTATTGTATTTTCAAAAATGAGAGTTTTATTTCACCTTAACCCTTTAGCGCAAAAAGGAACACCGGTGTTCGATAGTGTTTCGTAACCCAAAATTATTAAAATGCTATTTATAATAATTTTTACTCACTTAGCATTAAGTAATACAAAATAATTCAAAATGTATGAAAAATATCTTTAACCTTTTGCTAACCCGATTAGTATGATGAAGCCGCCATTCTGATCCACCTGTTATACCAGCCGCAGGCAAAAGGTTAATGAAAAAACTGCGTCAAATGGATGAATAAATTTATTAATAAAATAAGATTAATAATTTTAGCTCACCAGTGGAGTTTCATATATTCTTTCCGATTTGTAAGCTACAGGAAGAATGATTGAATTTAAAAATAGATGAGAGGCAGAGATCAGTAATAGACACATCGTCGTGGGAGCAACTCCAAAATACGTCCTGTCATAACTACCTGCATGCAGAATTAAGCACACGATGACCAAACAACATACCTAAAATTTAAAACTATCATTAACCATAGAATACACATAATAATGATAATTACGCATAAAATAACCATGGTTCTTTTTTGCCTGGCGAACATTTCATATGTTTAAATGAACAAAGTTTTCCTTTATCACCATAGTTAACATATATTTCTAGCACCTTGTCACATCTTTGCAAGAAAATGTATCATTGTAATTAAGGGAAGGGGGGAAAATTTGTTTAGACAACTAGAGATGCTCTAAAACGTATTCAATTGCTGGTGGAAACTAAGAAGTGACTATTTGATTCACTTAATTTGACATTCAAGATTCATACACTAAGAAGAAAACAGTTATGGTCAAAACTACCAAAATATTGTAAAGTGTACCTTATTTATGGCTCTATGTGAACACCAAAAAGCTCGGTAATTTTTGCCGAAGTGCTATGGTAATGATTTTTGTTAAAATTAACAATAAAATAGGGTGTTATAATGTATGATAAAGTTTGGTAATGTTATCACGATACCTTAGAGCTTGATATAAAAACCATTTATTCGGTTAAATTTATGCTTCATTATTATATTTTTTAATACATGCGTGGTAATAAGAACTATCACTTTGAAAATCAGAATTTTGAGTAAAGCATTTACATATGAACGGAAAAATTAACACATGAATGGTTTGACTACCGTATGTTTTAGTTTTATTAACCAGAATTAAGTTTTTTTCCTTAGAAATGTCATTATCTTACAGTACGGTAATTTTGCCAGAATTGTTTTCCTTGTGTGCGACAATAAAGCTTGTTTATATGTTTTAATTCCTTTCCTTCTTTTTAAACGAGAATCCTCAGAACACGATATCAAGCTTTTCATCGTCTAAACATTATTTCACACTAATTTTATTACATTTTTGTCCTTTTTTTATTATTAAGAATTCCATTAATACGCACATTAAAGGTAGTGATCACCATACACCATGGATAAAGTAAACGCTTTTATATTTTCAATCGCTTTATATGCTTTATTTTAAATTCATGAAATATGTAGTCACGCACGCTGATTGAAGCGCGTTTTGAAAAACAAGGTCTAACCTGGTAATCTATAATTATGTCAAATAACAAAAATAAATATTTCACATTTATTTTACTGTATGTGAAGAAATTTTGAAACCACTATTGTTTTTGTGACTTGTATAAGTAATACAAAATTTACAAAGTGAAATTAAGTTAATAAAAATGAATGAGAAACAAATTATCATATTATTTTTAAGAGATATGTTCAAACACAGTTATTTTGTCAACAATATAAAAATTTCCCTCCTCAAATATCTGTTACAAGATCACCAATTAAAACTTTTTTAAAAAGCTAAAAGGATGTTAATCCAACATTTTTCTGGATAACTTCAAAGACTCGATTTTTTATAGACGCAAACGTTTTCAAGTTTTAGAAGCTCAGTTTTCCAGCTCAGATAATTCTTTTTCACGTAGCATTGGGAATTTTCTTATGAAATCAAATAAATTAAATTCTCATTTTCTGTGACGTTGAAAATTGTATTACAAACATATTTTCAACTTAAAAATGGCACCTTATTTTATTGTATCCATTGAGTTCGAGTGAAAGTTTTATTTAGCTAGATTAAATGTTTTGTCTCCTGCATATTTGTTACAAGAAAGAAATATATAGCTATTACAAAGAGCCTGGTCGTGGATTTGTTGGGTGAAATTTGTAGTGATATCCCAAATACCTCTTTAAATTTTGAGAAATAAAGTTTTGAAGACTTAAACAAAGTGTTCTGTAATAATTGCACTTAAAAATGAAGGCGGGAAAAGTAAATGTTCGCAAGGGATCTCTAATTAGCATTTAAAGGAGAAAAATACGAACACTGTCTAAATTTGGCAAATCATTTATGATAAATGCAGAATATAAAACGTAGAAAACAATATGAAGCGTGTATACGTTTCTAATAAACGCCTTTCAGTGCATGATGAAGCTTAAGCGTGTTTTTAAGAATTGCCTTTCAGTGCCTGATGAAACTTGTATGTGCTTCTAACAATTGCTTTTCAACTTAGTTCTTTGTTTCTAGAGCATATAAATACGATTTAGGATTCTTTGTTCAGCTTCTCTAGGTTATGATCCTTAAAATTCTTAAACTGTTCTTGCTTTTTGAACTTGTCCTTTGTGTTTATTCAGTATTTTGTCTACTCTTGTCTCTGAACGCTATTTTCAATTTCTTATAACTCCAGAGTTGCTGGTGCTAGGATTCGGACTGTCTGGACACAGACATGAAGGAGCAATTTTTGTCCCCAATCCGAAAATTCGTCAAAATTTTTTAATTGTTTCGTTTGAGCCGTGGTGGCTCAGGGGATAGAGTGTTCGCCTTCTAACGAGGTGGCCCAGGTTCGATCCCAGCTATAGCTGGTCGATTCAAATTCCGCACACGGCTCTCACCAACCATAGTGCTGACTTAAAATATCTTCAGTGGTAGACGTATCATGGGTTTGAGTCCCCTTGTCGTTAGGCTAACCGTGGAAGGTTTTCGTGGTTTTCTTCCCTATGTAGAGCAAATGCGACTAAGTTCCATCAAAAAGACCTCCACGAAAGCAAAATTTCTCCCAATACTTATTCCAGGAGCTCCTTTGTCTTCTGGATAGGGTTCGAAATTACAAGGTTTACGGAGTTGAACATCAGTAGCCGTAAACCTAAAAATTGTGTCGGTTGTTAAACAACGGTTATAAGACCAATAGTAACCGACCTACCCCCGAAAGGAGTTTGCGGATAAGGGTTTCACCCGTTTGCACGTGACTAAACACTACCAAACTACAGAAAAGTAAAAGTACTAAATTAAAAAGATTAAAACACATAGGAATAATCCCAAAATCGAAAAAGTAAAATAAAAATAAAACAGAATAAAAATTAAAAGTGCTTAAAACAGCAAAGTAGATAAAATCAACCGACAATAAAAGTGTCAAAAATACAGATAAAAACATATAAAAGTAAGGTCAGGTAAAACATAAAATGGTAAAATATGAAAAATCACATTAAAAATAAAAAAAAGACTAAAATAAGCTTAGTAGAATAAATAAAATAGTCGACTAAAAGTTCAAGTGTCTCCCTTTCAAGGCTAAGTGCCTCTAAGATTAAAAATGTTCTAAGGTAAACCAAAGTTTCACTGAGAGGATAACACTCAAAGATGACACCAGGTAAGACAGAGGGTGCTGAATTTGACCAAGAGCAAGATTTCATTTCGAATGTCCCATGTATAATGAAGATGNTAAGGCAAAGAAGTTCGCCTAAGCACCTGAAATAAAGGTGCGATACGGGCGAAAACGGCATAGACGTTTTCTAATCAGCCAACAGTTAAGGTGCCTTAACGGCAAGCGAGGCAACGACGTGTGCCAGTGAACATATTCAGCTTTTGATAAAAAGGCAAAAAAGACAAACAAAAGGTACAATAAAAGCCTTTACGGCAATTTTCTCTTCATTCTGTGAAAAAAAATTTTTTCCCCGGTATTAAACAGGCAAAAATGGCAAAGCAATCCAGAGGCAACAAAATAGTCCCGGTCCTTCAACGATTGCCGTCGCTTTGCCTGAAATGCCATGCACTGGCCCTCATTCTGGCCCAGATTTCACTTTATTAACGGAACCGATACGGCGATGAAAAGCCCGCCGTAATGGCACTTTAGGTGTGCCGACATTGTCCCTTCACTAGCCCAAAAGTCGTGTGCTTGTTGGGAAGATTCTGACTGTCTGGACACAGACATGGAGGAGAAATTTTTGTCCCCAACCCGAAAATTCGTCAAAAATGTTTAATTATTCCATTTGATCTGAGGTGACTCAGGGGATAGAGTGCTCGTCTTCCAATGAGGTGACCCAGGTTCGATCCCAGCTATAGCTGGTTGATTCGAATTCCGCACATGGCTCGCACCAACCATAGCTCTGACGTAAAATATCCTCAGTGGTAGACGGATCATGGGTTTGAGTCCCCTTGCCGTTAGGCTAACCGTGGAAGGTTTTCGTGGTTTTCCTCTTCATGTAATGCAAATGCGAGTTATTTCATCAAAAAATACTCCACGATGGCAAAATTTATCTCAATACTTGCTCCAGGAGCTCCCTTGTCTTCTGGATTGGGTTCAAAATTACAAGGTTTACGGAATTGAACATCTGTAGCCGTAGACCCAAAAATTGTGTCGGTTGTTCAACGACGGTTATAAAGTAAAAGTATTCCATGCGGGAGAAATGTTTGAAAAATTATTTTTCCGCATTTGTTATACATTAGCCATTGTTATAAATAAACAAAATTGTCTGTTTAAGATTTTATCGTATATTCTATACTTTTTTTTCTAATTAATTTTTACAAGTTCAGTCATTAACGTGAACATGAGTTTATTGTTTTTTATAGTTGTGGTCTTAAAGTGTCTGTCCGTGGAAAAAAATAAGGTGCAATTTTTTTGAAGGACTAAATTGATCCTAAGACAAAACGCGTGAAATAAAATAATTTAACATTTTTTTTAAAACACATCTTTTCTATGGTAATAAATAACACGGAAACGTAATAAATAAAATATCGCTTGCAACTTATAAAAATCGAGTTTATCCAGTCTCGGCTAATTTTCTAGGTATTATGTTTGTTTTATATTAAGTTTATCTTAAAATGTTTGCAAGAATTTTTGTTATAAAATTTTTAAAGAAAGCAGAATAAAAGTGGGTGGTTTTTTAATAACAATAACAACATTATATAAACCACCCATGTTTTATATGCTTTCTTAAAAAGTTTTATTCAAAATTCTTGCAGCACATTTTGAAAAGAACTTCAGATAAAATATACAAAATACCTGGAAAATTAGCCGAGACTAGATAAACTTGATTTTTATAAGTTACATGCAATATTTCATTTATTACTTTTTCGCGCAGACCCTTATAAATGTTTTAATTTTTTAAAATTATTTTATGTTTTTTTATATACTTTTTATCTTTATTTCCGCAAATGATTCTAAGAATATTAAGGTTGGACATTGAGAAACATCCAGAATATTATTTACTCACCAGTTGAAAAGTCATGAGAAATTTGCTGCAGAAATGCATTAATGGTTTCTTCATTGAAAACAAATATAGCCTGCTGAGAACATGCGTGGTATTGTTATTATTGTCTCTTATCCTTTGGAAATTGAAATAAGAAGAAAAAATTTATGTAAGAATATGTGCGTGTAATTTTTAAAAACAAGACAAATTTACTACTTTCACACAATTTAAATTTTTTTAATGCAATTCTCCTTTTTTCTTCCTTAATTTATTTTTTAAGTTGATACCTTTCGGTTCGTGCCTTACTTAGCCACTGTGGCTATACTGTGGCCACTGTGGCAACTGTCATAGTGAAGAATTGAGGCTCGATCCACAATAGTGGCTTGAAGTCCACCTATCTTCAGATCGATGGATGACATCTTATTTGCAAAGTAAAGGCGGCTTGTTCAAAAAGCTGAACACGTTTCCACAATCACGCCGTTGGGCAGCAAAATTGTGGAGCCTTAACTGTTATGATCCCACTAGCCAATAACAAGCTGTAGTGGGAATGCTTTACTTTTTTCTTTCTGTTAGTTACGATGAAAATTGTGCACTATACTATTTTTACACGTATTTAAAAATATATTTTCTATGTAACTTTAATGTAGAAAACCGTAAATAAATTAATTTTTTTATAGGAATGAACCTTAAAAAATGTATTATTGTGTCATAAACGACTCTAAGTCTTGGAACAACTGTATTTAGCCAAAGAAAAACTTAAATTTTTATTAATGGTTTTTATAACATTTTTGGGCTCAATTTAGAGTATTTAACACAAGTATAAAATAAAAAAATATGTAAAAAATTTTCATTTTAGCGAGTCATTCTGTGAAAAACATTTTAGGTTTTATTTTCAATTTTTTCTTTTTTTTTTCGAGAAATTTCAGTAAAATACCACTTTACCTTGAATAATGTATTGAATTTGACTATAAACTACGTTTGAGATCACAAATAGTAAAATTTATTACAATTTATACGCGTTTCGATGTCCTAGGTACACCTTCATCAATTGAATAAATTGGCAGGGATGGCAAGCACAGTAGTAATAGTAATTTTTGGCAATGGTACAATGGACTATTGCGCCGACCGGCCTGTGTAGGGGGCAGGGAACTGTCCTTGCATCAGAAAGGTTCTGGGTTCGAATCCCGGGGAAGGCATGGATGTTTCTTGCTCTCTATCTGTGTTCTACGTCCTTTCTCCTTTATGTGTGAATGTGATCCGCCCTATAAATGGGTTGTGGTAGTGTGACGTGGGTGACGCTGCTCCACCGCCGTGGCTTCGCCACAGGTGCCCACTGGGTAATGAAAAGAGAGTTAGCAATTCTGGCACTTTCTGTGGCCAATGGACAATAGTTCCAAGTGTCCGCCATTTAAAAAAAATTGACTATTGATGACGGTCTGGGAAACATCACTGAGGATTATCCGAAGAGATGCCGTCTCAGTTTTGATCTTCAGCAGCTTTGGTAGTCCGATGACCTGCTCGCGAACTCAAACACTTTACGGTAGAACAGTTCACCGAGGGCCAATACAACGCAATTTCGTTTCTTTTGCTAGCTGATCAAAGTGGTCACCCACCCGCTCAATGATCGCAGACAGTGATGCTTGACTTCGGAGCAAAAACAGAGTTGATTCAAATTGACAGAGGTTAAGCTAACTAGTCAGGTAAATACACAGTTGAAAAATTAAAATGTTATAAATTGACAGTTGAAACGTTATAAAATTATTGTTTTATAAATATTTGATAAATATCACACCACACTGAGATAATTTGCAAATGAATTTTTGTTTTTAAAGGAAAGTAATGTAAATATTTTTAATAAAATTTTTAAAAAAAGAAAAATGGTATTTCATAAGAGATGAAAAAATATAATATCAATTTTGGTAAAAGTTTACAATAGAGTGCAATGTTTTATGTTCTTGCAAAAACAGGTGGGGGGGAGGAGCTTTTTAAGTAATAAGAAGTCGCGAAGAAAAATAGTTGGAAAATGGACAATTTCACAATCAGCGAAAGCTCCAAGTAAAACTGCTAAATCCAAGAAGAACCTTATTATTATACACTCTTACCTAAATTTTATTTCATATAATATGAAGAAATATAGTTTGAATTTTATTACACAAAACATGAAGAAGTGTAACTTAAATTTTATTTCATATGATATGAAGAGATTAAATTTTATTTCATATGATATGAAAAGATTAAATTTTATTTCAGAAATATGAAGAGACATAAATTTTACAGTTTAAATTTTATTTCATTAACAAAGGAAGAAATAAAATCTAAACTTCCATAAAATAAGAAGAAATATAATTTAAATTTTACTGCATTTATATGCTTACATGCTAATTTAAATTTTATAAAGAAATAGAATTTAAGTTTCCTTTAATAAAATCTATAGAAATGTAATTTAAATTTTATTTCATAAAATATGAAGAAATATAATTTAAATTTTGCTTCATAAAATATGAAGAAATATAATTTAAATTTTATTTCATATAATATGAAGAAATATAGTTTGAATTTTATTACACAAAACAGGAAGAAGTGTAACTTAAATTTTATTTCATATGATATGTAGAGATTAAATTTTATTTCAGAAAATATGAAGAAATATAATTTAAATTTTGTTTTATAAAATATGAAGAAATATAATTTAAATTTATTTCATATAATATGAAAAAATATAGTTTAAATTTCATTACACAAAACAAGAAGAAGTGTAACTTAAATTTTATTTCATATGATATGAAGGGATTAAATTTTATTTCAGAAAATATGAAAAGATATAAATTTTACAGTTTAAATTATACTTCATTAACAAAGGAAAAAATAAAATCTAAACCTTATTTCATAAAATAAGGAGAAATATAATTTAAATTTTGCTGCATAAAATATAAAGAAATAGAATTTAAATTTTATTTCGCAAAATATAAATAAAGATAATAAAACATTATTTATAAATTATTTACATTATTTACAAATAAATATAATAAAAACTTTGCTATACTATCAATTAAACTATAATACTTTTAAAAAAAACTTACAATATTAACGAAATTATAACGAAACACTTTAACGTGTATATCAGTCGTACCAGTCAAATGTTGATTGTTCCAGTTCGTAATCTACCTCTGATTTAACTAAGAATATGGTTTTGTCAATACAAGCACTACAAATAAACATGTTTGTAATTCAATAAAAAAAAATTAGATCTGGAATGCAAACACAAAGTTGCGTTGATAATCTATAACATGAAAACGGTTAGGGAAACTTGAACTATGATAAGAAAATATGATTTCATTTCACATCTATTGTTTATTAGAGCTCTTGATGAAGATAAGTGTTATAGTGGAAAACAAAGGCTACGATAAAACAAATGGTTGAGTGTTTCGTCCAATTTAAAGCTAGAGTATAAGATATTTTAGTATGCCAGTTATTATTAAGAACGAAAAAACAAAACCAGCACCTGAACTATTACTAGCTCAATTGGTAAGTTTTTCGATTTAATTTATATTTGTTATCGACAAAGTGGAAGTCTGACATTGTATACAATGACGAAAATCGATCATTAAAATAAGAAATGCTTAAATATTTCATACATTGCCTAATCATTGAATACGAAGCAGAATAATAAATCAGTGAAGTGTGAACTATGATTATTTCAAATTTTCAATTAGTATGATAATACCATATAAGTATTATGATAAAGTAATTACTTGGAGCTATAAACACATTCCTATTTTATTTATTTTCTACGAAGGTGGTAAGAACCCTGCTCGCTGCCGCTTACCAAATCCGATGATTGCTTCACAATAATTGTTTTTTCTTGGCAGAAAAAAGTTTTTTCTACTGAAGTTAAAATTGGGAAAAATATACTTCAGGGTGCCCCTTGGCGAAATTGGCGACTTATGTTTAACGCCATTCCTGCTTGTGCGGAACACTGTGGTAACAGCAGGAATGGCGGCCAAAACTTTATAAAATTGTAATGCACCCAATATAAGCAAGATTAATTAACACAATAAAATGGACTTTGAATTGAAACAAAAATTAATGGACTAAGCACAGAAGGAAAAAAAACACTTTTTCATTAAGCTTGAATATTCTTAGATTTAGGTGCACAGAATTCTATAATAGCAGTTAGATACTGTCTAAATTTATCATGAATAGAATCTGTGTACCTCCATCGCCACATAAATTCGGCGAAATACGAATCGAAAAAGGCGTCCGTGGTACCGAACTGGCTGTGACATTTTTTTTTACAGTCCCTTTCTATGACCGCCCACATACCTTCGATCTTATTGACCAGAAGCAAAAGTAACCTTACCAGCCGGTATCCACCGTAGAACTAACGAACCTCTGAAATTACATATACTGTTGAACATTTAAAAATAAAGCTGAAATCTAAACCTATCAGAATCACGATTCGGTTTTAACATCGCCCAGCTTGGCGATCAACAGCTATCACAACTTGGATCAACAGCTATCCACTTACCACGTCCAAATATTATTATCTATTAGTATTATAAATACTTAGATCTATTGGTACAGAAGTAATTTTTCTAAGTAATCCTTTTTTCAAAATGACATTTATATTGTTATAACAATATATTATTCAAACAAATTTGATGAGTTTGAAGCAAAATGAATGATTTGAAGAATGAATACATTAAATAATTACTATTTTCATTTATTTAGAATATTTGCATGACTCGCTTAGGTTAAATGCGGCATCAAATATTTTAGATGCAAAGATAAAGTAAAACAACATTAAAATGCAATTCTAAAATGTAATAATTAAAGTTGAAGTAAAAACAAACTTAGAGATCTTAAATAATAATGAAAACAATTTATGTGGAATATACGTTTGACGTTACGTTTCTTCAAGTTCATAACTCTAAAGCTCCTATACTATTCATTCTCTAATTCAGGGGCTCTACATAACTTAAGTTCATAATTTAATATTTTCGCTTAGCAAATGGGCGGAAATATTCAATGCTATTTTTGCTTGCATCTCATTGTGCATGAAGCTGATCGTTAAGTTCTAAATCATTTAACGGATCTTTTTAACTGTAATTTATAACAGTATATTATTGTTATTTGCACAAAAATAATAATTGTAAAACGGTTAATAAGATTAATCCATCTATCTAAATAGCTCTATCTTAAAATGTAGTACCGAATTACATTATAATAATTATTAAAAAAAAACTATTCTCAGCAAAAGTCTTAAACTCTTGAATTAAAAGCGTAATAATAGCAGTACTGGAAAATAAATTTAAATTAGGGATGCAGAAATATTTATAGAAAAACAATACCTTTATGACTTTTATTAATTTTTTGATGATGATAACCAAAACAATATGGAAATGAATGAGGAAAAACTGGATCCTACCACGTGATTTTCCGGCCAATAAAAAAGCACGAGCAACAAAGGAAAACTTCTACACCATCATTAGATTTTTATATATAGTAAGATTCTTTAACAAAAGTATAAATTCTTTATTACTTGCTATGCATTATAATGCGGAATAATTTTTCTGCCGAAATGTGTATGCCGTTGGCCGGTGTTCCCTATACTGAAGTGTATTTTAAAGCAAAGATTCATTTCCCAGTATTCCTTACACTGATATTTTATAAGGCAAATGACCATTGCCAGCTATACACTTTTCGGTCCTTTCTTACGGTGATGTTTATTCATGGTAAAGTAACATTGCCCGGGATTCCTTACACTGCTTTTTTTCTTTATCGATTAAACGAATTCCTTTGATAATAATCAAATAAGACTGTTAAATTAAAATTTGCATTTCATAAAAAAGTTATTTTAGATAAAGAAAATGCAATATTTATTTAAGCAAAATTTTCAACTAAGTAATATTTTCAAAAAATAGTGAAAGAGAAATTAATGTACAGTTTTATTTTTTTCCCGAATAATTTGCATCTGCCAACTATTAATACCATGCTTTGCGTAAATTTCATTTGTGATTGAAATCATACAATACATGATTCTCATATTTTTCCGTTATTCATTTCAAAAAGTTGGGTTATTTTCGATGGTTTTCCCTATTTTTTAATCATACGTAACCCATTTTATAAACAAAATTAATTTATTTTTAAAAAAAATGCTAGGAAAAGAATGGGTAAATTAGAAAATCCTTTTTATTTTAATCTAATAAATATTTAATGAAGTCGTTAGCTATATAAAAATTTTAGTTAACTTCAAAGTTTAAAAAAATTTTCTATCATAGTAAATTTCTAAAATAATTTATTTCATTCTGATATCCAATAGTTTAATGAATTATTATAGATTTAGGACTCGAAGTATTAGTAAATTTAAAGTAATATATTAATCACAGAAAATTTGCTTAGTGATATACAAAACGTATCTTTTGTAATAAATTCGAATAAAGTCTAAGAAATACATATATGGAATTATACTAAATTGAAAAACAATTGCATTCAGCCTCAGCAAGGTCTCTTTTATTGTACTATTATTCTTTGTATGAATGAAAACATCATTAAAAGTAACCGAATTGTCATAGTTTGGCTGTGCAGAACTCTAAATTTCAAGAAAATAATTCAAATCTGCCAGTGGCGTACGCAAGGGAGGGGTTTAGGGGTTTAAACACCCCCCTTGAGCTCAGACAAAATGGCAAAAATAAAAATTTTAGTAGAAATTATGCGAGCTATTATTTTTTAAGACCATATAGTTTTATTTGCCTTATGACTACTTTTTTTTCTCACGGTATTTCTCAGAATACTGNAAATCTGCATCCTTTTAAATTATTTTTTCATTCGATATTTAGTTTTAAGTTAGTAGTTACTTGTAGTGGAATTTATTAGAATACTTAGATATGTTCTCAGATTTTATAGAAATACACCTTACGAACAGGAAGGGGAAAATATAATTAATTAATTCCAGTTAGCTATGCTTAATAAGAATGCGGTAATAAGTCAAGTTTGGAAAACAACTGGATACCTGCAACGGACGTTATTGTCGATGAAACGTAGCATTCAGAAGCCAATTTGGTTCGACACGCACACGTGACGTCACTTACAGGTATCCAATTTAATCTGAACTAAATTACATGGTTAGGCCTAATCAGTTCACTTTTTCTCGGGTTGCAAGTACCCAATTAATTTAAAAATTACCCTAAATAATGCTGTTTATCATAGTACTCTCGACGGAATTTTACGATCTGGTAAAATTTCATAACAAATGTTATTTACACATCTAGTTCCTTTTTTAATACAATAAAAAATCAATTATTAAGCTAAATTTTACAAAGATTAAACTACATTTATTGTACAAAATCAAACTGAATTCCTAGGGTAAGAATTACTGAAACTTTACCTTTTTCTATTCCTTATTAGATATTAAGTGCTATTTTAGTGCTGGTAGTTGGACACGCTACTTACGAGAAAGACTATGAGATACCTAGGTTTGTTCTCAGAATTTATAAAAACACACCCTATCTACATGAAGAGGGAAAAAGAAGCATTCCGATCAACGAATTCCGAACCTCTTACACAGCTCTCTGTCTTCTTGTAGTTTCGGCAGCCTATTTCTTCACAAACCTCATTCTTTACCTCACTTGCAAGTGCACTTTAGAACTCTATAACACTATACTAGTAAGCTATTCTTCAATTCACTTCATTTCATTTAATTTTTTGTAAGCCCTGTATCCTATTTAAAAAGCTTTGTGGAAGGATGTTGTAAGAGACATTTTTGAAAATTTGAGTTCATTTACTCATTTCCCTGCGATTGCTACAATTGTTTCTTTATTAAATGCCTTAAGATGATAAAAAAGATTGTTGAATCGAAAATTAAAAAATATATACAGTTAAAAGGGGATCCCAAAATGATTCATTCTCTTAACACAAACTTGTTACAACATTAATTTTAAAAAGAATTTAGGCATGTTGTTTTTTTTAAAAAATCTTTTAAACTGATACACTGACTTACCAAATAAATTACTGTGTTAGCGTAAGTTACGCAAAAACAAAAGTATTTATCAAAACTTCGAAGGCTGACTAGTAAGGAATATTTAACTACCTTTCAATAATAACTGATTTCAAAATTATACAATGATGAACAAAAATTCCAACACCAAGAAGGAGTTGTGCCAGATAAATTAATTTGGTAGGCTTGTTTATACAACTAAAAGGACGACTTTTCAAATTTTGCGATTGGCCCATAAGTTTGGCACTAGTTGGTATCAGGTTTGCTTTGAATGCCTGTTCGAAAGTTCGCAAGAATTATTTTTCGTTAAATTTTGAACTAGTGAGTAGCTGATAGTCAAGAATGCCTTTAAGAAGACGAAGAAGATATTTTCAGCAGCTCACTGACTTTCGTGTAATGGGCTGTGAGAAGGTGAATTTTCTTTCCGCGAAATTATACAAAAGACTGGAGAGAAATGTATCCACCGTGCATGATTTCATTTTATTTTATAACCGTCGTTGAACAGCAGATCCAATTTTTGGGTTTCGACTACTAATGTTCAACTCCGTAGCCTTGTAATTTTGAACCCGATCCAGAAGACAAGGGAACTAATAGTTCAAGTATTGGGAAAAATTTGCCTTAATGGAGGACCTCTTGAGGGAACTAACCCATATTTGTATTACATGGAGAGGAAAACCACGAAAACTTCCCATGATCAGCCTGACGTCAGAAGGACTCTAATCCATGATCCTTAGTTCGTTTTCTTACTTCAACTCGTTCTTTTTACAAAAACTAATTGGGCACAATTGGGGTTAACAATTGGCAATTTTTTGCTCTTTTAAACGAATTATTACCACATCTCTTTTAATTTTTTTTCAACTTAGCTTTTTTTATTTTAATATTATTATTGGCGCCAAAAATAGTACTATGAGTTTTTGCTTTTTTCTTAAACGAAATGAATTAGTATCATTTCTCCATAAATGCTGCTTTTTATAACCTAGCTTCTTTTATTTTTCAGTTAGAAAATATTTCCAAACTTAATTTAGCATAATTGGCTTCAATAATAATACAGACATTTTCCACGCTTCTCTAATTCACCATTAATTTTAATTTTTATTATGTAGCTTGTTTTTTTATTTTAAGTTGTATCTATTACCAAAATGAATCAAGTAACATTTTTATTAGCAATAGTATGGCGATTTTACGTTCTCTCTAACCGAATTAATACTTTTTCTCCATTAATTTTGCTTATTTCAATTACTGGTTTTAAACTACTTAAATTTATGTAAAAACGTTTTCAAAGCATAACTATCAATCATGCAAAGCATAACTACGTTTCAAAGCATAACTAACAATCAAGCAAAGCAATCATATGGTTTAAGAATACTAATTTGATGACGTAGTTCACTTATGCTAACACGTTGATCATTGAGTTCATCTGACATAACGAATAAAAAATAATGCATTAAGGAACTCGCAATAAACTCTTTTTTGATTAATGAAAGCTAGTAAATATTACTGATCTCATCGTTAAAATATTTATCAGAACAGAATCGTCTGCAGTTTAATTTATTTCAATGGCGAGTTCTTAGTTAATGAGAAAATTTCCCTTTTTTAATGTCTCTTGAGAATGATCTATTCGAAATTTTTGAATGATTTTCTGGATCGGGAGGTAAAATTATCTTTTCCATTCACTGACCAAATTTCAGGAGGACAAAAGAAATGGTTCTGAAGTTGTAAAGAGAGAGACATAAACTCTTCATTTTATTATTGTAAATATCCCAAACAAAGAAAGTTTACATAATAATAATACAATTTTAATACTATGTATGCTTATAAAATAAATTCTAATTTATTGTAGGTGGTATTATAGTTATCTCAGCTTACATAGAACATTTCTTTTTTAGATTTTGGTTCAAGATATGGTGTTTTGTTTTCTCATGTTTATCTGCAGTATAGCTGCTGCTGCACATCCAGGAGAAAGGGCAATTAAGTGGAGAGAAACTGAAATATTGATTGCCTCAGTAATCACTTATTTAAGTTATTTGTCATAAATTGCATCAGAAATCATTCAATTGTGTTATATGTAATTCTTATTGCTTGCATCAGTATTCAATAATTTAAGTCATATGTTATCAAAACTTTTTTGCGTGTTTATTTTGGGATATTCACTACTTTTGTGTAATTAATAACTCTTGTGTAATTAATAACTCTTGTCTAAACTCTAGTCGACTGGCAAGGGGACTTGTCCAGCGTCAGAAACTATAAAATATTTTCGATATAAAATATATATTTCTTGAAACAAAGAAAAGTAGGAAAAAAACTATTTCACGTCAGTTAGTTTGTAGGAAAACTTATAACGATGGACAATAGTTTTTTGTGCAATTCTTGTATATGATGGTTTTCTGTTTTGTAATCTTTTTAAGAGACTACAAAACCCTAAAAAATTGACTGATTTGAAATATTTTATTACTTGTATTTAAACTCAAAATATTTTCAAATCCACTAAAAATTTAGTTGCTCAATCTGCATTATTTACAAAGCTATGAGATGTTTTTGAAACAAGGATTATGGTTTTTTCAGTAACAAAATTTTTAAATACTTTGGCTCATAGAGGAATTTTTGGGGTTTACATACTATTGAATTTCTAATGTCTTTTTCTAGTAAATATGGAGCTTTGAAGTAATTATTTTATAACCAGTACGATATATCTATTAGAAAATTACATAGTATTATCAATTTATAAAATATTGAAATTTTTACAGTATGACCTGAATTTTTCTTAAGTTTTCATAGTGAATACTTAAACTGATGTATAAGTAAATTAATAGTGCCAATGATCATTGTAATCAATAAATAATTGTTTTTCGCAAAACATGCTCGAAAAAGACGAATTTATTAAAAAGTTTTAAATTGCGAAATCTCTCCGATTTTTTTGGATTAGTAAAACAAATACGCAGGATCACAAAAATTTAAAAATAAATTATTAATTTCCAACAAACACATGCCAGATTTTTTCACATTCAAAAAAAATTAGAAAAAGGTTTTTTTTTAGATTTATTTGAGGAAAGATTAATTATCGCGTTTCAAATATTTAGATATAAGTAGATAAAAATAAAAGTAATTTTACAGATTTTGAAATTATAATATATAGTTATTTGATTAAAATTTAAACAAGAGTTGAATTCGAATTTATGCTTTACAAACACAAAAATATTTTAAAAATAAATTTGATTTATTAAAGAGTTTCATTACTTTTTAGGGTATATCTATGTTTTGTTGTGTTTCGTCAGGAGTTGGAGTCTATTATTCATATTGGGTTTATAGAGGGCTTTAAACTGCTTGAATCATGTAAGTTGCTGTTTTTTAAGAGAATTTTAATTATTCTAACATCTGAAATATTTGATATACTATTCCTTATTAAAATTGCACTGCGAAAAAAAAAGTATGGTCAAAACTACCGGAATAAAGTAGAAGTTTCCGTGTTTTTGACTCAATGGAAACGACAAAAAAAACTCGGTAACTCTTACCGCAGCCCTTTGGGAATGATTTTGGTAAAATTATCAATAAAATATTGTTGTATAACATACGATAAAATTTGGTAAATGTTGCCAAAATTTGGCAATTTTATTATGATATCTGAGAGCTTGGTGCAAAAACTATTTATTCGGTTAAATTTAATTTTCAGTTTTTTTTAAAATTTTTTTTTTACTAAATTTGTGATAATGCGAACTATAATTTGAAAAACAAAGTTTCAGGTAAACTGTTGCCATATGAATATGGAAAAATTTCTAAATGGAGCGTTTTGGATTTATTAGCCATAATTATGTTCTTTTTCCTGAAATATCATTATCAATGTCAATGAAATTAACAGTAGGGTAATTGTACTATAACTTTTTCCTTTGAGGAAGAAAATATCTAACTTATAAAGAAAAATCCCGAATAATAATTCTCAAAATTGTATATATTATTCCAAAGTAACATTAAGACTGAAACAGAACATATAAAAATTCGCTTTCTGCAATTATAAAAATTTAGTACTACATATCAAGCTAAAGCTAATTAATAAAACAAGTAATGTAAAGAAAATTGAAGTCAATTCTTGCTTAAGTCAACAAAAAAAAATTTTTTTAGTTGCTTTTTACTCCTAAATATCATTTATATGGGAAATTTTTTTCTCCTGTATAAAACTAAAATTATAATTAAATGTAATTAATGAACTAATATTTGAAAGACAACTGTATAAACAACGTCATCCTCTACAAGTTTAAAAAACGTATTTGAACTTAAATGAATGAATAAAAAGTATTTATTAGCAATTGAATATTTGAGCAAGATATAATAATTAAGGGAAAGGGTGAACTAGTAGTAGGAATTGAATGATATCATATAAAAGACATGTCACAATAAGCAATACTAAATTTCTCACGTTATTCCAAAATAAATTTAACGATCAATAACATATCAGGTAACATATAAATCAGGTAACATGTAAATAAATCAGACAACATATAAATAAATCATGTAACATAGAAATAAATAGGCAGTAAAGCTATAATTGAGAGCGATTAACTCAAAATGTATTTAAGTTATATCTTTTAGAGAATTATCAAAATTAACAATTCTAAAAATTTTACATGATTTTTAATTAACATTAAAAAATAAGTTTATACACAAAGAAGTATCATTAAAAATATTTTTTGCAACTAAATAAATAAGAACAGCTTTTTTATTCTAATATATTCAATTCAAACTAAATACTTTTATTTTAATCATACAAAGATCTTATTTTCAAAATTTTGCTTAAATAATACGAGTAGTATATTAAAAGTTTGTAAACGTAGTTTTTCTTTTAGTGTTATGTTAAAAAGTATAGATCTAGTTCGCATTTTTAATGAAAGATTCATAAAATAATAGTTTAATATTTCGTAATATTTTAAATTCATAACGGAAAACAATACATGAATAATATTTTCGTAGAAAATTTCATATATTAATATTTCTCTCCAAAAGGAAAGCGTAATGGTATAAAACCATTTCACGTTTATGTCAGCATATTGGGATTAGATACAATATGGCTCTTGTATCAAAAAGGTTATAACGGTTATTTAACGTTATTTAAAATTATAACGGTGTTTACCCGTAAATTATTTATTTATCTCTTACTTAACGGTATTTTAATTTCTAATTTGGATTAAATAGATATTTAATTGCTATTGAAGTTATTTTCAACTATTTAACAACTAAACTGCTTATATTTAATTTATTTTGCCATTTCAGCTAGTTAAGTTACATTTTTATAAAATGGTATGCAAATTATATTTACTTATAATATAAATTTTATGTAAGACTGTGTTCAGTCAAAGTATGCATTTAAAGAAATAAATCAAAAGTAAATATTTAAAAAAATTCTGAAGAAATATTAAATACTATTTATTCGTACTGTTGTTAAGTTGATTTTTGGTGGAAAACATTTATTGAGTTTTATAGTAAAAAACAATAACAACAAGAATTTCAACAATTTTGTGAATGAAGCTACATACGCAACTGAGAAAAACGATTAGAATTAAATTTTAATCAATTGGAATCGGAAAATAAATCTGCGGAACTAATCATGTGTTAAAACAATTATAAATTTTGGGATCTTTAGACTAATAATTTTTACTTTTGATGTAAAAATTCTTTTCGTTCTGTTGTTAAATAAGTTTTTTGGTGGAAAACATTTATTGAGTTTTTAGAGTAAACTACAACAAGAATTTCAACAATTTTGTGAATGAAGCAGCATACGCAACTGAGAAAAACGATTAGGTTTAAATTTTAATCAAATGGAATCGGAAACTGAATCTGGGGAACCGATTATGTTTTTAAAAAAAATTTTGGGACCTTCAGACTAATAATTTTTACTTTTGATGTAAAAATTCTGTTCGTTCTGCTGTTAAATAAGTTTTTTGGTGGAAAACATTTATTGAGTTTTTATAGTAAGCAGCAACAACAAGAATTTCAAAAATTTTGTGAATGAAACTGCATACGCAACTGAGAAAAACGATTAGGTTTAAATTTTAACCAAATGGAATCGGAAACTGAATCTGTGGAACCAATCATGTGTTAAAACAATAATAAATTTTGGGACCTTTAGACTAATAATTTTTACTTTTGATGCAAAAATTCTGTTCGTTCTGTTGTTAAATAAGTTTTTTGGTGGAAAACATTTATTGAGTTTTTAGAGTAAACTACAACAAGAATTTCAACAATTTTGTGAATGAAGCTGCATACGCAACTGAGAAAAACGATTAGGTTTAAATTTTAATCAAATGAAATCGGAAACTGAATCTGGGGAACCGATCATGTGTTAAAAACAATTTTGGGACCTTCAGACTAATAATTTTTACTTTTGTTGTAAAAATTCTGTTCGTTCTGTTGTTAAATAAGTTTTTTGGTGGAAAACATTTATCTTTTTATAGTAAACAACAACAACAAGAATTTCAACAATTTTGTGAATGAAGCTGCATACGCAACTGAGAAAAAGATTAGTTTTAAATTTTAACCAAATGGAATTGGAAACTGAATCTGTGGAACCGATCATGTGTTAAAACAATAATAAATTTTGGGATCTTTAGACTAATAATTTTTACTTTTGATGTAAAAATTCTGGGAGCGGGGAAATGCATAGAAATAAAATCACTTTCACTTCGCTAAAGGAACACCAAAAAACTTTTTTTTAATGTCACGTTAAAATAAAAAAAAATCAGAACTCTTTAGAAATAAAATGGTTCGTGTCATGGAAGAGGGTTAAAATGCTGCATTAAGGTATAATTTGTTGGAAATCGAGAATGCGTCAGTCGTGCTCAGCTGCATATTTTAATGAATACATCACGATTCGCAGAAATGGGTGCTACTGTCTCACATTTTTTTCTCCTGGAATGAAATATGATGAAAAAAATATGTGATGAAAAAAAGTGCGCAAAAGACTCTTTTATTTTTCGAATGAATTGGTTATTCACTTCCACAAAAATACTATGAACTAAATTAATTTTCATAAAAAAAAGTTAAATTTCTCATTTTGAAATAATTATAATCTTTCGTTCCTTAAAAAAAAATGCTTGAAATATTTGGCTTAATTTCAAATGTCAAGCTGATATCGACTTTTTCGTTTTTCTTAATGTAGAATTTTTCAAAACTGAATTGAACTTCATTTAAAGCTGAAGATATCTCATTGAAATTATACAAATGAGTGTTTTTATGCTTACAAATTTCTCTTTGAATTTTTTTAAAAAAAAACGAGAGAAGTATTGAAAATAAAGTATAAATAAAAAAGTAGGTATTTTAGAAACTATTTTGTTTACTATTTAAAATATTAAGGGTAAATTTTAAACAATTATGTTATAATATTTAAAAAAAGCCATAATATTAGTTTTCTTTTTAATTTTTTACTATAATTTCTTAAGTAAATTTTCCCCCCAGAATTTTCTTCTCTTTATTAAAAAATTTTCAGTGTCATTGTCACTTTTTTAGAAGGTCAACTTTACGTTTCATTTCATTTGATTGCGAAAAAACTATGAAACTTAAAAACTTAAAATTAAGAAGCAAAACATTCAGGAAGGAAGAGTAAAACAAATTTAACATCCGATATTCGAGAACATTATATTTGAAAATTATTAACTGTTGATTGTATAAAAAAAATACCATGCGAGGCGCTCTAAAAACCACAGAAATGAATCTACAGAATTGAAACTTGACACTCTGAAGGAATCATTTTTATTTATGAACTTAGGGCGAGTTTTTTTTCTTCAAAATTTTAATTTATTCGAGTATTATTGTATGATGGAGTGCTTATTTTTGGCTTTATATAATAAACAATTGTATTTTTAAGTGGCTTTAGTGAATATCCCTTGGTTTTAAATTAAACAATGACTATCTATCCATTATTGCAGTGCTTCCCAAAGTGTGGTACGCTGACCCTCAGAGGTACGGGAACAGTTTAGCAGGGGTACGCGTTCTTATGCGAAATATCTTGTAACAACCGAAAATTTCAAAAAATTTCATTTAAAAACAAAGCTAGTCATGAAAATTTACGATTACGCAATTTTCTATTTGCTATTTTTTTGCAGAGTTAGCAGTTAATAGTTAGTGGTGTCAACAGCCAGTTGTGATTTTTAACTTCTGTGCAATTTTTTTTATCACAGCAAATACAATATCATCCTTCTTACTGATGCAAATAAACTTAATAACAAAGCTTGCACCAAAAAAGAAAAATAAATTTTTAAAAAAATATATAATTTTTTTTGTGGTACACAGCGTTGCGAAAAATTTAGAAAGGGTACACAAAAGTCATAAGTTTGGGAAACACTGTG